CCCCCCGCCGTTACCTGGCCCAAAATGACAATAGTGTCAAAGGGGGCTGAGAAACCCTGTTTTATATGATGGGGAAAGGACTGCAACACTCAATGGCCTGCATTGGTCTGGCCCATCCCTTCCCTTCGTTTGCTGGTTCAGGGGCTAAGAAGTCTGGGGCCCTCCCCTGCCCATTACCTTCAGGATACTTGTAATTCTGAGTGATGTCCTCACAGCGGTCACTGCCCACACCTTTGGTACTGATGTTACTGCCAACATACTTAGTGTTGGAGTTGGTCAGCTCCAGTGTCCCGTCCTTACAGCACTTCCAGACCACACATGAGGCATTTACTGCAGCAAAAAGGTCTGACACTGCAGGGGTCAGCGCCAGTGTCCCCTCCTTGACTGCTCTGACAGGGACCAGCTCACAGGCACTCAGGACTGAGGGAGAGAAATGTCGGTGATCAAGGGGAGCCATGCCCAGACCTCTGCTTGGGTCAGAGCTGCAAAACCTCAGTCCCCATCCTAGGCTCTATTTTCCCTCCCCCAGGATCAAGGTCAGAGGTGGGTACTAGGCAGGGTTTCTGAGAGGGCATTGCAGAGATGAAACTCACAACTGTTTAGTGGCAATACTTTTTGGTCATGGCCTGTGGCAAGATCCCTCTCAGAAACTGGCAGGTAGACCCTCAGAGGAACATAGTACACAGGAGTCCCAATAGGTCACCTTTATTGAGCACTTATTATGTGCCAGGCCCTGTGACTGTTCTGTTCCTGAGAAAGGAAGAGCCATCTTTTTATGGCCTATCTTGATAACTTCTTCATCCATATCCAGAATCTCAAAAGTCCTACCCTATATGACCTTGACCCAGCACATCCATCAGCTTTCTTAAGACTCTCCGCCCTTCATTGAGACTCGGCTCACTCGCCTTGTCCTCTGACGTGGAACTACTCTCCCCACAGCCTTGGGCTGAGATCACTAACACCTTTGTCCCCTTGAGTTTGCTGGCATCAGGTCAGCATTCTGCCAGCCACTATCATTCTTTCTGCTTCTCCTCTTTTAGGGGATGCAGACCCTCTTTGGATGACCTGCTGCTCCTGTTTCCTCTCCAAGGGACTCCTTCAGCCCATACAGCTTTGTGCAGCCCAGGGTGGTCCTGGACCCCAGGCTTTACCTCCACCTCCTGCAGGAGCACTTGGGTACAGAATCTGCCATCCACTATAACCCTGGGGCAAAGCAGGCCGAGTCATCCAGCACTCCGTGGAAGTCTGGAAGATCCTGAGGGTAACAAAGGGAACAATTTGAGTGGAGAAAAAAGGGAGTCCTGAAGAGGCTCTAGAAATGGCAATCATCGTTGCCTTGGGGATGGAAGGACACTATGTAAAAATGGCTGCAACACTCCCAGGAAGGGGCGTGCATGCCACAACTGACCATCAGGGTCCTGTCTCCAAGAATCTTGAAGGTCTCCTTTCAGTGCCTGGGCCACTCAGCATGTGGGGGTTCCCATGGCGTTATACCTCGCAGGTTCGGAGCCCTTCCAGTCTGTGACCTCATCCCCTTTGGGCTTCTCACCAGATTCTGCCTCTTTGGCCTTCTCCGTTCTGAAGCCCCTCATCATTGTAGTATTCATCCACAACCAGTCCCCCTCTGGTGCCCTGGGCTGAGGAGAATGTGGTAACGACTCGGGCAGGGATTCCCAGGCACCGCAACACTGCGAGGAAGGGGCAGAGTCAGAGGGCACCAGAGGGGCCTAAGGTTGGGAGGGGGGCGGGATGGCTAGCATTTTCAGTGATCCTCTGGGCAGACACTGTCTTAAATCCCAGGTGACACCATGGAAAGATGAGGGGCATGGGAAATTAGAGCTGACACCAGGCACAGGACCTATAAAGGCCAAGAAATGAGGTACAAACAAGTTACATAGCAGGCAGAGCATACAGCAGCGGAGGCTGATGGAAGACACAACAGAGCACTGGGGGCTTGATCCACTGGGGCGGGGCAGTGCAAGTTTGGGGGAGAAAGTGAGTTTGGGAGCAGAGATTGCCAGATGAACCCAACTTTGCTGAGGAGGAAAAGGAGCAGAAGTTGGTCAGGAGGAGCTGCCCAGGGCAAGGAGCTGGTTTCTTGGCCAGATGGTGCATCTGAAACCAGGTATGGGTGTGATGAAGGTAGGGAAATGCTGTTGAGTGGAGGAAGTGCCTGCTTTTGAAGATGTCCCTCCCACATGGAGGAATGACAGGGCAACCCGAGGGGAAGGACAGGCACGTTCAGTAGCCAAGGGGATCTGTGGGTGCAGCAGGCAAGCCTTCTCTGTACCTGTGCAAGCAACAGCAGCCAACACCCAGGCTTGCCCATCGTACACATGTCGCCCTTTGTCTCTGAGCCACTGCCGTAGGATGGGCACGCTGCCCCGGCGCTTGTTCAGCAAGGACCCTTCCTGGGCGGCCTGGGTCTGCGGCGTGGGCAGGACATTTTTCTCCTTGAGAGTATGCAGCTGTTTGGGCAAATGTGTGGATGTTATGTGAATCCCAGCACAGGATAGCTTCCGGGGTGGGAGGGAGTTTAGGGGAGGCATAGAGCAAGGGAGGAGGTTGAGGAGGGTTCATCACAGATCTCCAAGCATAGTGAACAGACCAGCTGCATCAGAATCACCTAAAACTTGTTAACCCTGCATGTTCCTGGGCTCTACCCTAGCCCATATGGGTTATAATCTCTAGGGGTGGGGTTCAGGAATCCACCTTGTCAACAAGTCCTCAGGAAGCGAGAGGTTTGTAGACCACACTGGCAAAGAAAGCTCCAGCCACAAGAGGAGTGTGAGTGACCCCTCACCCAGGGGGCTGGGTTCCCTGCTCTTTCACTTGCCTGGCCCCAATTCCTTTGAGGGCGTTTGCACCTGGGGCCTCGAGGCCCACTCATCCTAAGATGCCTCTTCCTCGCAGGCTGGTCCTGTCTCTCACCACCTCTTTAGAGGGGAGTCCAGTGGCACAAGAGGAAATGGGGAACACATTACTCCTGTGAAAGCACCTTTAGGGGCAATGGGAAAGCACCAAGCTACCTTGATGGTCAACATATTCGTAGGAATAATTTAAAAATAAAAATAAGTCCCTTTGACCACCTTAGCAGCAAACACTGAGTAAGATGAACTCTATTCTCTCCCTCGGGGATCTAGGCCTCCAGTTTGGGATGTGAGGAGGAAGCAGGGGACAGAGGAGTGCTCTGAGGAAATCCAGGCCATTTTTAGTCCTCGCTGGCTTATGTCCTAAAGGATGATATCTCCCTTTGCTTTTCTCTCCCCTGTAGATGCTATTGTCCTCCCCTCCTCACTCATGCCCTTCTCCAGGAACTATCCCCCATACCCTGGGAGGAAGGGACCATTGGTGTTTTTGAAGATACCCAGGGCCATAGAGGGGGGGCAGCTCTGTTAAAGGGCTCCCACTTCCCCTCCTCTCACTCACCGAGTTGCCCAAAACACGGGCCACATGCACAGGGTTGCTCCACTCCTCCACCTGCTTGTCCTGGCTCAGCAGTTCCAGGCAGAGATCCAGGACATCCCTCTCAAACTATAAGGACCACACAGGGCCATGATGAAAGGTCTGCATCCCCCAAGTCAGTTCCCATCACCTCGTCCTTCTTCCAGACTCAGGCTTCACTCCTTCCTCCCTGGCTTTGTTTCCCCCTGTGCCCCGGCAGTTCCCTGGGCCCGGTAGTCCAGTCCTTTGCCTGTTCTGTTGTCTGACTCTCCTGATAGGGTGTGAGCTCCTGAAGGCCAGGGCTGTATTTGTTCCTTTCATTTCTGTCTTTACCATTTAGTGTACTTCTATTGCTCCTGCCGACACTGACTTTTGTGTGGAAGCTATCAAGGCAAACCCTGCTTTTGAGAAGCCCGCAGTTAGGAGTGGAGAGGGACATGTAGCCCCATAGACTGTAGATCTTAGCAACATGGCCAGGACTCTAGGAGAGGTGCCCACACAGAGCAGAGAGAACAGTGGAGAGAGTCACTCTGCCTTTGGGGGCTGAGGAAGGATTTCAGAGGGTCTTAAAAGATGGGTAGAGGCTTCCTAGGGGATAAAGAAGGAAAGCTATTTCAGGCAGAGGGAACATTCAGCTTGCATGTCCAGGGGCTGGCCAGGAGCTGCAGCCTGGGTGGCTCTTGAGGAAAGGAAAGCCGTGACTTGGCTGTGAAGGGCCTGTGTGTCATGCCAGGGGATTTGGTTTTTATCCTGTAGACCATGGGGATTTAACAGAGGTTTAATTTGTATGGTCTTTAGGAAGATAACTCTGGAAGCTGTGGAGGCTGGTTTGATGTGACCCTGAGGAAAGAGAGGTACCACATGGCTGAAATTGCTTAAAGGCATGGCTTCATGACCAGAGGCTTTTGGATCTGCCAGCTCTGTCTGGCCTGAACACTGAAGGTTACAGGGTAATCGCTGTTCCCTCACCTTCCCTGGAGGCCCCCTTACCTGGCCAAAGTCCCAGGGCTCTTCCTGGATGCAATCAGCAGTGCCCAGGTAGATGAGGCCGTTTTGGTTCAACAAATACTCTCTGCGTTGGGCCTCGTTCTCCAGGAACACAGCATCCCCTGGTGAGAAGCAGGCAGGGATGAGGGTCTGTGGGGTGCTAGGCCTGCCTTCCACATCCAGGCCTCTGCCCTCCCTGCCAAGGGCAGGTTTGGCTGCAGGTCTCCCCCTCAGCTCCCGGGATTCAATGAGGACTGAGGAAGAACTTCTTCTTTTCACTACCCCCACTGGGACCCAGCCTGCACTCTGGTGGAGAGTGCGGGAAGAGGTCAGGGTTTCTGGGTCAGCCAAGGTAGTCTTCATGGTCAGCCAGGCAGACAGACACAAGCCAATCTTTGAAAGCCTATTGGTTTCCAGAAGACAGGTGTATCCAGAGTGCTGTCAGCCCAAGAGAATTTTGCAGCAGCCCGGAGAGCTTTCCAGTGGACCTGTTATGTCTCTCTCAGAAGTTCAATTAAAAAAAAAAAGTGTTTCAGAAAAAAACCAATACAACATAAATTGACAGGGGTGAACAGAAGAGAAGAGAAGCATTGAGCAAGACAGGGTCAGAGGGAGCAGTGGGGCTGGTGAAGTGGAAGCCAGAGCATTGGCTTTCTGTCCTGGGGATGTCCAAGTGGGTCTAGGACTCCCAAGGTCTCTCCCTGGTGTCTCCTCTACAGTCCTCATCAAAGGGTTGGGTTGGGGAGGAGGATGAGGGCTTTAAAGAGGCTATCTCCCACTCTAGGAAGCTGGGTGACTCCCCAAGTGTCTCTCCCTGAATTGGGTGCTGCGGGTGGTGTTGGGGGTGGTTAGACTGGTTCCTGGGGACCAGAAAGAGAAAAGGACTTCAAAACCATCAGCCTCAGGCATCCAGCTGGGATGAGGCTATTCAAATCAACAGAAAGACAGGATATTAGATATCAGAAAGCCCTGAAAAACCAGGGGCCTTAAAATCACAGAGCCAGGTGCCCAAGAAGCCCTCGGCTTCTGCTCCTCCATCCTGAGTACTCTCTAGGAAGTCAGCTGGACATCCCTTCTTTGGAAATCATTTCAAACTAAGGTGTTTGGCTCCAGGCTCTCCAGGGCTCTGGGAAGTACACTGTCAGAGCACAGGTGGCCCCACCCTCCACACTTCTCTACTTGGGCGCAGCCCCCCTTTCATCAAGTTCCTGCTTATGAATAGGACTCTGATTTTTATTATAGGATGTAAAGTTTCCTTTTGAATTTAGGAAAGCCCCATTTCCAAGTGTGCTAAGATGAGACTGAGTCCCAGATAATCTCTGAAAATCTCTTAATCACCTCCCAGTTGAACAGAGGCAATAACTCACCACTGTTCAGGTAGTCACCTGCACACATACTCAAATAGAGGCTGTCCCTAGGCAAGTCCCTACTAGCCAAGCATAGAAGCAGGAATCCTGGCATGGAGTTAAGACTATGGGTTCCCTTTGAACTGAGCACTTTCCCAGAACTGTCTTGGCTGTGTCTTTGCTCGGGCTGCCAGGGCCTAATTCTGGATGTGGACTCAGAGTCAGTGAGGCAAGTTCACTAAAGCCTCAGCTTTGGAGAGAAATGGTTTGAAGGTCTGTCAGTATGTGGATAGTCATGGGGCTTCTCCCAGCTGAATGGGCCCTGAATCCAAACTCACCCACAAAGGCAGGGGCACCTGAATGGATTTTAGTTCCCATCTATTTTTCCACCTGCCCACCCTTTGGGAGCAGGAAAAAAAGCCTTGAACTGAGGACAGTCAGGCCCATCTGAGGGATTGGACAGCCCCACCCTGGACAAGAGAAGTAGAGAGAGGAAGCCTATTGGGATTCAGGTGCCACATAGAAAGGGAGTCAGGAACTGGGGACCAGAGATAGGGGCTGCAGGAACCTAGGAAGATGTCGTCTACTTTCTCATGTTTCCTCTCATTCCCCAGCCCTGCCTTGTAATGAGGCCCCCTCCAGGTTGGCAGTGAAACTCTTGAAGTGAAAAGGCTATGCACTTGTTATCTGGGATAGTGAGGACAGGAAAGCTGGGAGAAAATGTTTTCTATTCCCCTAAACAACCCTTCAGGAAGCCCAAAGAATTAAGGTGCTTGGTGGAAAATTGAAAAAAGAACGATAGACTCAGTCTTCAGAATGGGAAGGAAGAGAGGCCCTGTTGGCTCCTGCTTGGGCCATGTCAACCATGTCTGACAACCTTTCTTAGATGAAGTAGCCCCAACAGCCTGGGCTGAACTTTTCCAGAGGTGTCCACTGGCTGGGCTGCAGGAGGTCACCTGACCCCAGGAAAGCCCACCCATTGGCTGCTGAGCTACAGGAGGCTGGTCGTTTAATTTGTGGCTCCAGTCAGATACTTAGATCAATATGGAGAGGACCCACAGTCTGTAGTAGTAAGAACAGAACAAACAAGTGGAGAGAAGCAGAGACAGTGAAACAGGGTAGATTTACTATGAAGCTGATGAAACTGAAGTTTTGGGGCCCCTCTATAGCACAGACCTCTTCAGACCTTGGAAGGGGCCTTAGCAATTCAAACTTTTGTATTCATTTTCTCTAAGAGAGTTCCCCAAATTATATAAACCTCAGGTCCCATAAAGTCTGAATGCACCTGGAGATTGACTATGGGAGTCCAGGAAGGAAACAGGGAAGCCCATTCCTTAAGTTGCCTCCATTCCTGAATCACTTTCTAGTTTTCGCCCCCTGTACTGTTACAATAAAGGGTAGCTCTTCGAGGGTCATCTCAGTGAGTCTCAACTCCTGTAACCAAATAGCCTGAGCCAGCACCAGGGTTTGGTGGTGAGATAAGCCTTTGCTTTCAGTGGGGAGCCTCAGGCTGCTTCTGCCAGAGGTGACACCAAGATAGGACCCTCGGTCTGAGAGGCCAGTCATCCATGGAGCAGACATCACAATAACAAGTGCTGATACTGCCCTTACAGGAAGCTGTCCACTGGGGCTTGCGGCAGGCGTTCCCTGCCAGATCTGCACCCAGACTGTACTCTATGCCTTGAGTACCCTGTGCAACCCAGACTGACCGAAGTCCAAACTCACCTCGAACCCAGGGGTTAAAAAGCAGTGTGAACTGGCCCAGGAGGCGTGGCTTCCTGCCTGAGACCTGCAACAGGAGTGAGTAGTGGCCAATGACAGCATCTGAGGGTGTGGTCACAGAGATGGTCCAGGATTGGGTATCTCCCTCTTCCAATGTAGCACTCCACCACTTCCTGTCCCCCAGACTGGAAATCGGGAATGTGGCTTTGGTTCTGTTGGCCTTGGAAGGCTGCCTTCCTGAACTCAAACACACAAATGAATTGGTCAGTTGGACTTCTTGGTCACAATTTAGAGTAATACAGTCAAGTATCACAAAAGTGGAGCAGGTAAAAATTGTTTTTGGGAGAGAGTAAAAAAGAGGCTCATCCACTAATGGGAGGCAGTAAAGGGTGTTGGGAGCTCACAGGTTCTCAGTGCCCATGGACCTACATCTACAAAAGGTTCATAGTCTATAAAATGAGTGTAGTAATAACACCTGCTTCGTAGGGTAAATGTGAGGTCTTAATGAGATATTGCGTGTAAAACCTTTGACCCAATATCTAACATGTGGTACAGATTCAATAAGTAGTACCAATTAAATGTGATATTCAGCCTGGATTAGATCCCATTCAGGCTTTTCTACAAAACTGATACTATATTTGCAACCAGAAGAGATCCCTTAGTGGTAATGATGCTGAGCAACTTCTGAATCCTGATAAGCAATATTTATGCACATTATCTACTCCTCATAACAGCCCCTGCTGGATGAGCAAAACTTCTTGAGGCCCAGGTGCCATGTGGGGCATTTGCCCCTTAGTTCCCTGAGGGAGTGATGGAGAAAGAACCCCCCAGTCCTGCTGCCAAAGGGGTCTAGGCCTGCCCCACTTACCAGTTTGTGTAATGAAGACCACCTTCTTCAGGGCAGGCAGAAGTGCGTGGACTGGAGCCTGGAAATGCAGCCTGATGGTGAAGGGCTGCCCCCTCCTCACAATGAGGTACCTGGAGCTGATGTCCTTAGTGTGGTGCTCTTCATTGTTTCTTGCAGCCTGAAAGTCACAGCTCTTAATCCCCAGGGCTATATGGAAAAGAGAGAAACCAAGGTGACTAGGTAAGTGTGGAGACTAAGTAAACGCAGAGACCCTGGAGTCAGAGAGACCAGTGTTCAAAAATCCTTGGTTCAATTTTCTTACTTACTAGTTGTGCCATGTCAAGCAAGAAACCTAACTACTCTGAGCCTCAGTTTCCTCTTCATTAGAATAACCACTTCTTCTTGCAGGGTTGTGGATTAAATGAAGTAATGCATATACGGTAGTCCCTAATTATCTGTGGGGAATACGTGCCAAGACCCTCAGTGAATGCCTGAAGCTGTGGATGTACAGAATCCTGTATATACTATGTTTTATCATGCATACATATAATAAAATTTAATTTATAAATTTGGCATAGTAGGAGATTAACAACAAGTATTAATAAAAAAGAATAATTATAACAACATATTGTAATAAAAGTTGTGAGAATCGTTTGGGGGCCATTATTAAGTAAAATAAGGGTTACTTTGAACACAAGCACTGTGATACTGAGAAAGTTAACCTGATAATAGAGATGGCTACTAAGGGACTTAAAGGCGGGTAGCATATACACCATGAATACACTGGGCAAAGGGATGATACAGATTCCAAGAAGGATGGAGCACATGGTGCGAGATTTCTTTATGCTACTTGGAACAGCATGCAACTTAAAATTTATGAATCATTTACTTCTGAAATTTTCTATTTAATATTTTTGGACTATGGTTGACCATAGGTAACTGAAACTGTGGAAAGCAAAAATATGGATAAGGGGGGATTACTGTAATACACTTAGCAAAGTGTCAGACACATAGTAAGTCCCATTAAATGAAACTTATTATTATGATTATTATTATTATTAAGAGCAATGTTTGCTCTCATTGTGAACCTTCTTTTCTGGTCCCAATCCAAAAGCAATGAATAAAATCCAGGATCTTGCTCACCCTTAGTGATTTTTTTCTTAGAACACAATCAAATAATTTTAAGAAGTGATTTTGAAAACACTAAGTCCAATTCTATTGTTTTATAGACGAGAAGAGTAAGGCCCAGAGAGTAGAACCAACTCACCCAAGATAATAGTTCACTGTTTAACCTAAAGGCTCACCAAACTCATGGCACCATGCAGCCCAGAAAAACTCTACAAGAAGGGGGTCTGAGAGTATTAAGACAGTCTAATTTTCATTTTACAATGAGAATTTATGAGACTTGTAAATATACTAACACACCCACACAATGGCCTCTGAGGTTTCTGCATCCTCTGGGTCTGCCTGTTTTCTTGCTTCATGTCTGCCTTTGCCCCTTCTGGTTGGATTCCATTACTCTTACTTCCCCTTCTCTCTCATTTAACCTTGAAGCTATGACACCCTCATGCTTTCCCAGGATCATCTCCCGTAAGTATCACAACCCAGTGAGAACAGTCATATTTTGATGATCCTGGACAAGAATATAAATCCATGTTAACCACCATCACCATCTTACTATCATCAGCACAACTATGACCACCAACTTACCCTCACCAGCTACTCTACTGCCACTCCATAGCCCCAACACCATCACCTCCATCATTACCAGCACCCGCCACCACTCCTCACCATAGTCACACCCCCACTACCTCCACCTCCATCCTACTTCCTTTAATGAAAACACATATGATGAAGGGGCTGCTAACAGTCCAGCAAACCCTATGGAGAGCTGGCTTTGCTCACCCTGTCCCATGGCTGCAGGCTACTCTTATCCACTTGGTCACAGGAAATGTCTGTCTTGAACTGTTGCTCTGGACTCCCTCTTTGAATCTGTCTTCCGGATAGAAAATGATGGAGGTATTTTTGTTGGCTTAAGAATCTGCAAATAGTGGAGTTTATTTCCGCTTCTCCTATGAGCTCCCTGAGAAGTTTCTTCTTTCCTACTCCCTCCTTGCTGGTATCTCTTGAAACAGCTGCTGGGAGTTACCCTCTTTCATTTATCTCTTGTGCCAGGAGCCCAGGCAGGGATATGCCTGGCAGGCTGGAGTGGGGGGTGGGGCAGGGAAGATCTACCAGCTGGAGAGCCCCAGGAGAAACCCCTAAGCTTGTTGCTTCAGTGTCTTCAAGAGACCCTCAGAGATATACATGAACAACAATGAAAGACTCTGAAAGAGATGACTCCCAAACAGGAGGCCCACATCCAACCCCAAATCTCAGGCCCTAAACATATGATGGGCTGCAAGTTGCTAGATGTTCGTGGTTTATTTTGATAATATAAAGAGAGAACATGTATGTCTTGGATTCATCTGTGTGAAAGAGATAAGGAGGTAGAATTTGTTGGTGAGAAAAAATGTTCTAAAAGCAGAAGCCAGAGCCCCACCTCTGCTAGGCCTGCCAGGTCAGGGACACTCTGTGAGAGAATATTTAAAACTATCTTGGAACTCAGAGCCTATGTCTTTTCTATTTCTACTTGTCACTGAGGAGACAAGATACAGAAGAGGATCTCCTATTTGGCCACCTTTGGCCTTCTAAAGCCCTGCTTTTGCTTGGGGCTCTGAGACTGTGTCACTAGAAGCACCCTGAGGACAGCTCTACTGGCCTGCATATATGTGGGATATTTCTAGAAGGATATAAAAGAAATGACAAAGAATATTGGTTGACTGTGTGTTGTGGGGAGCTGGGGAATGGGGTAAGAAGGTGATTTTTTTCTGGTGTTTACCCATTTATACTTTTAAAACTTTGAGCCATTGAACATTTGAATAATCTTATTATGTAAAAAAAATGAAACTGCTGCCTTCTCACTACCCCCAAAAAAGATTCTTCATAAGAAATGAAGAGGCAGGGTTGGCCGAGTGGCGTGTTGGTTACGAGTTGGCTTGGGACACCAGCTCTGAGCAGCAGGGCCCCGGTTCAGATCCCACATGAGAGCCAGTGACACTGTGCCCTCTACAGCTAAGATGGTGAACAACAGCTCGACCTGGAGCTGAGATACCATGAGTCGCCGGCGACGGCGTAGGCTGCAGTGGGGCTGGCCGGCAGCTGGCAAGAGCTTTCATGAGCTGCCGTGAGCAGTTGTCCAATGGCCAGTAAGCGACTGCCTCACCCGGGAAGAGCACAATGATCACAATACCAACATGAGTCAGTGAAGCAATGTCCTCCACAACTAGACTGAAGACCAAAAGGACAGCAACTTGTCTGTTCCCCTTCCCCGATTCCCCAACGCTGTTCCCTCCCACAATTCCCCAATAAAATCTTAAAAAAAAAATGAAGTGGCAAATTTTTTGTTATTTTGTAGACTGTATGATTTTTACCTGGAAAACATGAATCTACTAAAAAGTGATTATAAAAGGTAAGACAATTTGGTAAGCTGATCTTAAGTTTAATACAGTCCCAATAAAAATGCCAACAAGTTTGTTCTCTGACACTAGAAAAGCTGATTCTAAGGTTGAAAAGGAATTTTCTACACGGGAAATGTATGACCAGGTTTTCTAGATATTAAAACATATTATGACATTACTGTAATTGAAAAAGTACATACACCAAAATGTATGCATTCAGTATGTGCTAACTGTGGCACTTTGACTCAGGGGGGAAGGTAAGCACTCACTAGTAAATGGATTTGGGATAACTAGCTTGCCAAAATAAAGTTGGTTTTCTACCTTGCACTATACACCAAAATAATTTTCATATGGATCAAAACTCTAAATGTAAAAAATTAAATCCTAAAAGTACTAGAAGAAAAGATAAGAGGAAGGCCTTTTAAAATAATATGCAAACTGGGCCGGCAAAGTGGCACATTGGTTAAGAGTTGGCTTGGGACGCCACAGGACCCCAGTTCGGATCTCACATATGAGGGCCAGTGACACTGCCCTCTACAGCTAAGATGCTGAACAGCTCAACCTGGAGCTGGGCTGCTGTGAGTCGCTGGCAACGGGGTAGGCTGCAGCCCCTGCTGCAGTGGGTTGCCATGGGCTACCATGTGTAGCCAGCAGCCAGCGTGAGCGGCCAGCAGCCGCCATAAGCGGCCGTTCAGAAGCCGGCGACTGATCTGCCTCGCCCGGGAAGAGCACAATGATGGTGCCAACTTGGGCCAGTGAAGCAATGTCCTCCACAACTAGTCTGAAAAACAAAAGGACAGCAACTTGTCTGTTCCCCTTCCTCCGATTCCCCAGCTCTGTTCCCATCCCCCAATTCCTCAATAAAAATCTTTAAAAAAAAAAAGCCTCTCCTCCCCTAAGGCTAATCAATTTATAAAAATAATTAAAAAATAACAATAATATGCAAACCTCAAAAGCTATAAAGAAAAGATTGATAAATTTGATTCCTTAAAAATTTTTACATGGAAAAATTCATAAACAAAGTTATAGGATATACAACAAACTGAGGGAAAATGTTTGAAACTCATATCACAAAGGGTTAGTTTTTTTTATGTAAAAGGCGCCTTCAAATCAATAAGAAAGCAAATCAATAGAAATAGGTGAGGGTCTCATGACAGTTCACTAAATAGGTGAGGGTCTCATGATTGACAGTTCACAGAAAAAAAATTCAAATATCTCTTACACACATGAAAAGATGTCTAGCCTCATGTAATATAAATGCAAAATCAAACTACCCTGGGATATCATTTTTCTCACCTATCAGACTGGCAAAGATAAAATAGTTTGACAACTTTCTGAGTTAGTGATGATGTGGGGAAATAGTTACTCTCTTATAATGCTGGTAGTAGTATGCAGTAATGCAGCTTCATTGAGGGAAATTAAGTAATATCCACCAAAGCTTTAAATGTCTATACTTTTGAATCAGTCATTCCACTTCTAGATATTCTATTATGCAAATAACCAAACGTGTAAAATGAAATATATACAATTATATCCATTGCACTGGTAGTAATAGCAAAATATTGGAAACTACCTAAATGTCCATAAATAATGTAATGGATAAATTATGGGACATGCATTGGAAAGAATACTATACGGGCATGAAAAAGCATGAACTAGCTCTATATAAACTGATATGGAACAATCTCCAAGCTATATTGTTAAATTGAATAAACAAGCTATAGAACAGTCTGAAGAGTAAACTACCTTTGTATAAAGGGTGTGTGTGTTTGGGGAGAATATATATGAATTTAATTGCCGTATTTGCCGGCGTATAAGATGATTTTTTGGCCCTGAAAAATATGCCTCCAAGTGGGGGGTCGTCTTATACGCCAGGTACACTTCAGATAAACTGCCCATAGTGCTTGCCCCGTGCCATAGTGGCCTCCCGATGCCCGCCCACTTAATTCCACATACCGTTCGCATCAGCAGCGCTGCTGGGTGTATGCTCGGCTATTATGCGATTTTGCTGTTATGCGATTTTACCACACTCGCAAAATCACACACAGCCGACCATACACCCAGTATGATAGCGCAAAATCGCGAATCGCGATTTATGTATATGTTTGATTACATACAGCCTTGTGACAGTTTTCCTGCATGTCATAAGCATTTGAATATAAATATAAATGTTGAAATCAAATCTGATATTGTTTTACCTTTTATTTGGTGTGTGGAAGGTGTGCGGAAGAGGGGTAGTCTTATACGGCGAGTATATAACAAACTCTGTATTTTGAGTGGAAATGTTAGGGGGTCGTCTTATACGCCCAGTCGTCTTATACGCCGGCAAATACGGTGTGTGTATATACAATATTCTGGAAAATTATTACTTCTGGATAGGGAAATTCAGTGACTAGGAGTAAGGATATACATATATTTTTTTTGTATTTTTGTAACGAGCTTATATTATGTGTTAACATTTTTTAAAAACAACAACAAAAACTTGTTTTGGGGAAGGGGAGAAAAAGGCTGACTGGAAGAACTGTTTTTACCACTGTGAACTCCCATGGGAAGGCATTGGGGAGATCATGTGCTGACTCCCCGTTGGAGGTTTGTTCCACTTCTGATGCTATTATAGCAAAGAGAATCTCCTCTTTCCTGATACAATTCCCATGGAGCTTCACAGATACCCCTGATCTAATAGTAGTTCAGTTGGGGCACTTTGTGGGGCCTACGTTGAGACAGATACTGCTGTGTTTTGGTTGAGCTGGGGAAGGCAAGTGGGAAATGTGAGGAAGATGGAGAGAGAAGTGACCAGAAATGTCTGTCCTGCTTTTTACTGCACCCATACCTTCGACTCCACAGCCTCTGGCAGAAAAGCAAACTTTCAGCTGTGTGTACCCCAAAAGGATTCATTTATTCACTCATGACACAAGTATTTATTGAGTACTAGCGTGAATCAGGAACTGGATAAGGCATTGATAACACAGCAATATATTAGATAGATGTGTCCCTGCCACCGAGGAGTTTATATTCCAGTATGGGAAACAGACAGTACTAAGTGCTTATACCGATGTTTACTTGCTATAAAAGAAAAGTTTCAAGTTCTAGGACCTAGGTGTGGAAGTTAGAAAAGTTCTCCCTGAGAAAGGATATTTAAGCTGAGAAAGTAGAAGGATAAATAGGAGTTAGCTAGGTTAATAGGACAAGGAGTGGGAGGGGTGGAGTGGGAGGAAAGAGAATAGCATGTGCACAAGTTGCTCAGGCAGGGAGCAACCAAAGAAAAGCCATTGAACTGGAGCACAGATTATGATGAGGAGAGGTAAGGCAGGGGCTAAATCTTGCAGAGTTGAGGTAAAGATTTTGAATTTTGCCCTCAGAGCACTGGGAAGGTATTGAATGGCATTTTAAGCAAGGGAGTAACACAATCAGATTTGCATTTTTAAAATACCACACTGACTAAAACAGGGAAAATTACTTAGAGTGGGCAAAAGTGGAGAGGACCAATAAGAGACTAAACACTCAAGAACATGTGAAACATGGCTGGTCTACATGTCTCAACAAATTGCAAAGGATGAAAAATCAGACAGAGAACATTCTCTAACCCCGTTGGAACTAGGCTAGAAATCAGTACAAAAAGATTACTAGAAAACTCCCAAATATGTGGAATGTAAGCAATATGTTTCTAAAATCAATTTTTGATTCTCCTGTTTCTAATCTTGATGCTTCTCCCTCTACCTTGGTGAGGATGACAGAGCTCTTTCTCACATTCCCACAAATTTATACATTACCCCCAGCTCATGCATTTCCTGAACACTCTTGCTATGCCAAGCACATGGCCTGCCTCCCTTTAGGAAGCTCCATGCTCTTGTACAGTCTGAAGACAAGTACCAATCTACAGGGTCCAGGGCAAGCTAGGAGCACTCTGCAATCAAATTCTTTTTGGCTGCACTCTTGAAAAAGTGGCAGGCCCAAGCTGGCCTCCAAGGTGGAGAACTATTTGTACTTTCAGTGCTTCTCAAATCACATGAAGTCTGTTCAGTTCTGCAAGTGCCCCAGTTACTGTAAAACAGAATCCCCTTTAAGCACTGACATTACAGGCAATGACTGTGATCCAAGACTTAGAGGAAACAGATACCTGAAGATGTTTGTGATCCAAACTCCTTAGACTGCCATCTGAAACCTTTTACCCCCTAGTGCTTGCCTCATTTTTTTCGTGGTTCTTGCCCGCCCCCCTGCTCTGACCTCTAGCCATCTGAAAGACTTGCAGTTTCTGACTGCTTTACTCTACCCCTGCCCCTCCGACCTTGAGTCTGTTTGACTAACTCCTAGTCCTTATCTTTCAGCTAAAATGCCACTCCCTCCTGGAAGTCTTCCTTGGTCCACAATCCCAAGACTGGACTAGTTGCCCCTCCTTGTGCTCCCACAATGCCCTGCACTTACTTAGCCCAATGGTGTTTCTTGCCACTCTGTTATAACCTGTTTATTTGTTCTTCACCACATGCTTACACTTGAGCTCCTTGAGAGCAGGCCCTGGTCCTTTTTGTGTCCTTGGTGCCTAGCTCAGGGCCCAGCCCGTAGTAGAAACTCGGTGAATATTTGTTGACTGAAAGAGTTAATGAATGTGGTCTTAAAATCAAGATTCATGGAAGAGTCGGAGGGTGTGGTAGCTGAAATAGTCCAAGTACTTTAGAGGTCATGTCTCTATAAGATGCCCCCTCCATGATGTTTTCCTTAAGCTGTTTTCAATGATTGTCAGGCAATAATTGCAAAATGAAATAATTACAGTAGCCTCCCTCCCGTGGTTTTACTTTCTACAGTTTCAGTTACCTGCAGTCAACTGCGGTCTAAAAGCATTAAATGGAAAATTCCAGAAATAAACAATTCAAAAGACATTTTTAGAGAGAGAGAGGCCATATCCACACAATTTTCATTATAATGTGTTGTCATGATTTTTCTATTTTATAATGTGTTGTTAATCTCTCGATGTGCCTAATTTATAAATTAAACTTCATCATAGATATGTACAGGAAAAAACATAGCATATATAGGGTGTGGTATTATCTGCAGATTTAGGCATCCACTGGGGATATTAGAGTGCATCCCTCACACATAAGTAGGAACTATTGTACAGGTTACTTCCAGCCCTCTGCTGCCAGGGTCTCCTGGTTCTCAGCCCATGGAATTCCCACTACGTCTTCTTCTCTCCCTCTGATTAACTACCCTTACCCTTTTATTGATATATAATAGAAGTATTTAGCTTACTTACTTAATGTGTGTGCATTTAATGTATACCCTAATCAGCTGTCTCAGTCACACAGCCAGTACCTGGTGGGCAGGTGAATCATGCCGTTCTCTATGCAGAACTTTGTGCAGTGCCATGAGAAACACGTGTATCCAAGAGGAGATAATGACTGTGTTCAGTAGGACCATTAAACACAAGCTGCAACCAATAGAAATGTCTGAGCGTACTTCATTGCCTCTGAAAAAATCTACCTCACTGCATTATTCAGCTAGCTTTACCCTCTGAACCCCAGCCATTTCAGGTTCATCCAGGACCACAATGCACTAGCGGACTTTGAACCAAAAGGCTGGGACTGTTAAGACTCAAGGGCTTCTGGATGTGATGTGGGAAGAGATTCAAAGGAAAGCTAAGTGAGAGATCTCCCAGGCTTTTTTCTAAAACACAAAGATGGCAGGTAGTATGTAAAAATATCTACAAAGGCTTTTGTTTTCCTAACTGGCTCATGACTGATACACATATGAGTATGTAAGTACCTTCCTTATTTGTTGACATATTTATTATCTGTGTTTCCCTCACCCTCCCACTCAATGTAAGTTCCCTAGGGGCAGAGACTTTGCTTTGTTTACTGCCTTATCCCGTATACTCAGAACAGTGCCTGGGACATACGAGGCACTCAGTAAGTATTTCTTGAACAAGTGAATAGGTTCAGGTATTGAAACAATAGGACACGCCTAGCATCCAGGGAACAGGTAGGAGCTACTGTAGGTAAAGTGGTGATTACATGGGCACAAAGGAGATGAGAACAAGGACTGCAGTTTACTGGTACTAGGAAGTTAGCTATTATAATGACAAAATGACCATGAGATGCTCAGCCAGTCTTCTTTTCTTGAAATCTTGGGAAGCAGTAAGTCAGGGTCAATTCCAACCAGTGTCATTGGACCTCTGTGCCATCTCACACTTCTGGATAGGACACCACAGAATCCCTGGGCCCTGAACAGAGTCTTGGGGAGCTGTGCAAATGGTCTAGGGGACTAGCCGTCACTGGCATCTCCTGTGCTGCTCATGTAAGAGCCCCCCAAAGCCTCTGTTATGGTGGGGAATTACACGGCTTGCATTTGAATTTGCTGCCTTTCCTGAAGCTTAAAATCTGTGCATCCACCTTCTTGTCCTAGAATTTATAACATTAAGTCAACATAGACGTTCCTGTAACCCTTGATGTCCTTAAACTTGTTGCTCCTCAGATTTGCTTGGATCTGCCTTTGGCCACTCTTGAAGGGGACAGTCTTTAGAGTGATGCTGGCTCTGTGTTGGGGTTTCAAGACTCCAATCCTGCAGCAGAGAAAAGAGAATGTCAAATAACTGTAGGCATTATGATCACTCCAAAGCCCTTTTTCACTCAGCAAGCTGTTTTCCCCTTTCCCAGTGTTCTCAGAGCCTTGTCCGGGAGCCTGTGTGCAGAAAGGAGAGCGCTAACCCCAGAATAAGACAGGAGTGAAGGCTGAGCACCCCTAGCACTCACATGACTCTCTGCTGCTTCTTGAAGAGACCGCTTCCTTCCACGGTGAGCACACAGTCTTCAACCTGCTCCGAGAGGGGGTTTGAAAATATCACCTGTATGGAGAGCTGCTGGTTCACAACGGCTGCTCCTAGAACCTAAACACAGAAAGCCAGGGGAGAGGAAGGAGCAGGGAATTAGTCTCATTGTCCCAATTCACCACACTTTTATGGAGGGCATATGGGTTGTCATTAACGTTTTTAGAGAAAATAGAAGAGAAGAAAAATGTCGGTATATATCACACAAGGTATTGTTATGTGAAAATCTTTACTTCATTTATACACATATGGACGTTTGTGTAAACTATTTTACAACTTTTGACCCAGCATATGGAAAAGTCTGATGAATCGGGAGTCTCCAGTGATGTTTCCTCTGCTCCAAGGACTATATCCAAGTGTGAAATAATCAAAAGCTCCCAAAGGATTCTCATGCATAGTTTGAGTAAATGTAATCTTCGTTGTCACTTTTTGTTTGCTTCTCCACCCCATCCCTTCCCTCCCTCTTATCATTACTGGCTTATTTCTTTTCACACCAGTGTCAGGAAGGAAGAGCTCATTCAAGGCTGTACAGACAAGGAAGTAGCCTCGGGAAACCTAGAGGGACTTTTGGAAACCCTCCCTAAAACAGACTCTGGTGGCTGGGCTTGCCAGATGCACCCCAGCAGGGGGCACCACAGACTCACTTGGCAGGGGCCAGGAGGCTGCTTGGCCTTGGGAGACAGCACTGAAAGAAAGGGACCTATGATGTCCTCCCACTCAGAGGACCACAGGATGTCAGAATAGGAGGTGTTCTCAGAGGCCATCTAACCTAATCCTTTCATTTGATAGAAGCAGAGGCCCAGGGACTTGTCCAAGGAGGCACAGTCAGGAAATGGCAAATCAGACCTGAGCTGACCTTCAGGCTGTGCTCTCCCTCTACTCAGGTCCACCTGTGTGAACTCATATTGACCCTGGGGAATGCCAACAGTGAGAGGTGGCCCAAAAGAGGGACCTCTTCATTGCAGCTGCTCAAGGTCCACCCATAAGGCCTCTAACGGTGCAATAGGAGGAGACCTCACCCAGTGTTTTCAGATAAACCTCCTAATCCAGCTGGGAGGTACCTGGATGCACCAGAAGAGACAGAGGAAAGGAGGGAATGCTCTTCTGAGCAGGCTCTCAGAGGGTCCCACCCTCTCCCAGCTGATCCCAAGGAGCCCCCAGGCCACTTGCAGGGCTCTTGCCTACATTAATCATGATGGCAGGATAGGTTAAGGTGATGATCTTGTCCACCAGGATCTTCTCGGGACTGCTTTTCTCTTCTCCCAGGGCACTGATGTGGATCAGCTTGTCTGTTGACAAGTACTGGCTGTACTGGGAATAGGGGATTTGGCAGGGATGGGTCTTTGCTAGGGAGAGAGCACAAGGATGAGGTGAGACTAGCTGGGGAAATCAGCTGGGCCTGCTGGATCTGGGCACCCTTTTATATTGAGCCCCAGTGAAGCAGGTGCCAGGTTTTCAGATGGAGAGACTGAGAAGTGAAATGGCTTGCCCAAGGTCGTTCTGCTGGTAAATGGGTGAGCTGAGGCTCTAACCAAAGTTTGGATGACTCCAAAGCTCAGATTCCCCCCCCCCCAACTAAACCAGGCTACTTTCCTTGAGATAGTAAAGGAAGGCTAGGAGGACAAAAAGGAGACAGGAGTGAGAGGGAAGCAGGTAAGGGAAGGAGGAAGAATCTGTGCTGGAGTGGACACTGGGAAGACTGGTGTCACAGGGGTCTGCCCTCAGAACCCTTGTCGCTGGCTTGACCCCACTGGCATTCTATAACCCACTCTGTGTATACAGGGTCCCCATGCCCATACCCAGAGCCCATACCTTCTTCAGGAGAGAGTGTGATGAAGGCTGTGTCCTGCCAAAATGGAGGCAGGGGGCTGCCATCATGCAGCAGAGACTGGGCGCTCAAGTTTACTTTGAGATCCTTGAACTGGAGCGACATGTTGAGGGCCAGCAAGACAAACTTTATGTCCTGGCCCATGATGGGCAGATCGAGCAGCTGGAATTTCAGGGAGACCTGGATAACATCACTGGGCCGCGGGGAAGGCGTATGCAGGCTCCGAGGACTGTCCTGGCTTGGTGGGGTGTGCCTGGAAGATGGTGAGTCTGTTCGGTAGGGGCCTTGGGACCTTCCAATCTTCAGCTTCTGAAGAGCCTTCAGAAACACCTGCCTCTCCTGGGGGGAACCTGGGAGGGCAGAGACAGCACCATCTGTGAGCCAGGCTGACCTAGGGGCTAAGCTGTGGCTGAACACCCTTGCCCATAGCCCCACCAACACTGCCGGGGTATTAAAATCCTCATTTCCAATATCAAATACTCCCTACAATTCATCAGGAGCTTTCTAAGTGTCAGGTTATGCTGAGCACGTCACTCCTTTCATCCTCACATCAACCATGGGAGAGATGTATTATTATTATTATTATTATTATTATTATTATTAATTATTATTATTCCATGTACATGTGTAGAAAATGGTTCTCAGAAAGGTCATGCCAGTTGTCAAAGTCACACAACTTGCAAGGGGCAGAGTTCAGGTGGAAACCAAATCCGCCCGACTTGAAAATCTGTGCTAAACTATCTTGCCTTCCCATGGGAAAGACGGCCCAAAAATGTGGAGAACAAGTCTCTTAAAGACAACAGGGCATGGTATGATTTCCTGCTCCAGAAGCAAATTATTGGTCAGTTATAGACTAATTCTTGGAGATTGAGAAACTGAGAAGCCACAGTGAGGGGGAAAAAAAGAGGAAATTCCGTCAAGCTGAGTACCCAGAGCACCCAGACCCCAGTCCTGGGGAGGTGCTGTTGCCAGGACTTGTGTGCAGAAATACTCTCTGTACTTCTCCAATAATCCAACAGGTGCCTTCATTGAGCACTTACTGTCTCCAGGATTCAGCCATACCCCTTCAGTGCATCTCCACAACCTCCCCAGGCAGACACCACTTTCGTCCCCTTGCTCTGTGGGTTGTTCTAAGCTCTGTTCCAGGCAGAAGATGATCTTGAAACACTGGCTTCAGTAAAAGTGGACCCAGGGAGGTGTGGATCAGATTTAGCTCACCTGTGGTCTGTTCCACCCCCACATTCTATCAGACTTGGTGGGAGGAGACAGAAAACTGCCTGATTGCGCAGCACACTCAGACCCACCGGTGAATAGCTCCGAAGCCCTCAAGTTCACAGCGGAACCCCATGGACCTTGTAGCCAATGCTGTCAATGCCCCTTCCTCATCCTTGTGGCACTTGCCATTTCAGTGCCCACCTGCCTTAATTTCAAATTCTAGCACCTGCTACTACTGTTTGTCTGAAGCTTTCTCTGCCATCATAGCTGACTCCACCCATGCATGGGGCAGGCCAAAAGTGCTAGGGAATTGATACTCCCTAGGAATAACCCTTAACCGCTGACTGACAGGAATTAGATAAAGAGCCTAGCCCTCTTGCCTTTTGGGTGGGATAAATCTGAGATGGTGTCCTACACTTTACACTGAATCGCTGATAGGATGGCCAGATTTAGCAAATACAAATACAGAGCCATTTAATTTGAATTTCAGATTAACAAAAAATAATTGGGGACATGATTAGACTAAAGCATTATTCGCCCTGTGTTTCCCTTGGCAGAGTTCTCCAGCAGGTCTGAGCCCCAGCCTGCCCACAGGCTTAATGAGGCAGGCATCCTGCACTGGCTTCCTCCCCTTCCATCTCACTTGCTCATTCTCCTTCCTTCCAGTAGATCCTTGCCTCAGGATCTGTTTCTGGGCACCCAAACCAGATAGCCCCTGAGTGGATGGGGTTGGAGGAAGTGATGGACAATACTGCTGGGCTGTGGTCAATGCTTGTCTCTTGCTGTGTAACCCCTTCCCAGGCTTGGATTCTGGAGTTTCTCTGTGTTGGCCCACGTAGACAAACCACAGATACCCACTTGCCAGCATTCCCAGCAATTACTCAGCTACCCCCCTCACCCACCCCCACACATTCCTGATCTGCCCCTGCTCAGGTCCTGCCCCTCACCCTGCTTCTAGTCCTCACAGACTGGATATTTTTGCTTGGCTCCCTGATGGTTGAACCTAGTGGTTGGTCTTCCTCAATTTCCAGGAATTAGTCCACACCTGACTGGCTTAGCTGCCCCTTTGCCCCTGCTGGCTTGGGCAATAAACCCCTGTCAGGTCTCCCACCTCTCAGAACCATCCTCTGCAGGGGGTGGGCATGGGAGTGAACATTTGGCCTTACATCAGCCTCAGTGCTGGCTGGTGGTCTGGCCTGTCCTCCAAACATGCAATAAAATACAATGAATTAACAGTAAGTTAAATAAAATTAATAAAATTAATTAATTAATTGAAGGGAGTTTACTAAATCCCCCGCCATCTTCAGTGGGAGGCTGACTTTTTGGGAAGGCGGGGCAAGGAATTCATATACTGTTGGTGAGATGCCTATCAATGGCCCTACAAGCAATGTGAACATCTGTGGAGGGTGCTCACTGGCCTGTGGGACATGGGGTGGTGGTTGGCATGAGGAAGTGAGGGACACCTCAACTGGGATCTTAAAACTGAAGGGCTAAGGAGACAGTGGACCTGGGTCCTGCCCTGCAGACACCCTCTGGTTCCCTAGAGGCCGTCCCCAGCTGGCTGGGGTAGGGGGAAGGTGGCCACAGGATTTGGGCTCTCAGGGGGGTTATTGCAGTCATACCTTCTTCATACTTGTAGTTCTCTGTAATGTCATCCCGATCATCACTCTGGATGCTCTTGGTGCTAATAAAATGGCCAACAGAATTCGTGTCCCAGTGAAGTCTCTGCTCCTTCCCTCCATGGACAAGCCAGGACACACAGTCAGCATTCACCATGGAAAAGACAAAGGCCGTGTCGTAGTTCAGATCCACCTCTCCCTCTTTGATGGCTCTGACGGAGGCAGGGCCACAGCAGTAGAGGCCTGAAGGAGAACAGAAGAGCCACCATTGGCCATTGCTGAAGGGTCAGGCACGGGCAGGGGCGGTTTCCATAAAAGTGGGTTCTGCTTTTCTTCTGGAGAACCTCACCATTGCTCGTCTCCTGAGGCGTGGCATCCAGTACCTGCCAGCCTCCATACCCGGGAGGGAGGTCCTTTCGGACCATCCAACACTCGTTCCAGACGTGGAAATTCCTGAGGAAGAAGCCAGAGGAGACGGTGTCAAATGAAGCTAAGGGAGAGTTTATGGTGCTTGTGTTCCTTCTGGAGCAAGACAGGGGACGATGAGCGGATGGACTGCCAGATGGAAAGACAGGGCATCCCAGGCCTTCAAACCTCTGCAGGTGAGTGGTGACAGCTCTTTTTCTTGTGAGCCTCAACTTGCCCCGAAGGGAACTTTCCTTTGTTTGTGAATAGAGAATGAAGGCTTCCAGAGCCAGCTGAAGTTAAAAGTCCTTCACTCTCTCCCAAAAAGGTCCTCGTGGCCCTTTCCTGTGTGTGCTGCTGACCACAGAGAGGCAATCATGGTCCTTGTGTCTGGAGGTGAGACTTCAGGCCCTCCCATGGTCACAGGCTGAGTATTAAATGAAGGTGACAAAGAGGAAAACCTCACCCAGGGCAGAGAGCTCTTGTGATATGAGAATTCTAAATTAAAAATCAATGTTTTGTATTCAGCTGTGTCCCAGCCTTAGGGGTGGGGATACTGAGCCCTGTGGCTTGTAAAAGTGGGAGTAGGGGGCATGAGAGGGTAGGAGGCCCATGGGCACAGTCCTGCCCTACTTTCTGTTGGTGGGGCTTTGCCCTAGAAAGAGCCTGAGAGGTTGTCTCTCACCAGACAGTATCCTTCTTATTCTCCAAAATCCTGCCCGTGTTGTCATAATACGCATCTATGATTAGGTTTCCGTCTGTGTCATGTCCAGAGTCAAAGTTGGTGATCACGCGGGTGGGGATCCCCAGGCACCTCATCACTGCAAAAAGGGCAGAAAATCTTTTGTGGATTGTGGATTCAGGAGCTCTATGGATTCCTGGACTTAGGGCCGTGGGCCCAGGGAAATCATTCATTTGTCACCTTCAGGACCAAGAAGGCACTGTCTGGGGCACTGGGTTGGTGACACTGACAACCTCCCTCCTCACCTTCCTAAGCTCCTCTCTCTGAAGCTCACGGAAAAGACACTGTGCAAAGGCTGTTAGTTGCTCTTACAAGCATTGCCAGGGCCAACAAAAGGCTAGCAAGTCACAGGTTCCCCTGCCTGGGCCAGCAGGACAGGAAAGGCACACCACCTTTGGCAAGACTCAGTGGCCTGACTGGGTCTCACTTCTCTCCTGGTTATAAATCTTCATCCTCAAGCCAAATAGCTGGAATGTTTTCTTTCCTGTGGTAAAGATTGTTGGTTGAGAACATTAGATTCTTAAGCAAAGAGGTCTGTGGCTTAGAGTCCCCATTCTCCATGGCTGTATTGTGTTGAAATCTTCTCAAGGAAAGCATCACAAATCCAGCCAGGAAGGGAAGGAAACTGTGTCACAAAAGCCTAGAAAAATTAGTCTGTACCTGGTGGAAAAATTCTGGGAAGGAGGTAGAATGTTGTCTTTATGACTGAAGAAGCATTCCTGCCCTTTGCCAGCCAACCTCTTTTCTTTGTCCTCTGCCATATGTCTTCCCCTTCTGCACTCTTTTAAGAACAGCAGTATCCCCCAGCCCATCCCACCACCAATGCCCTGGGAATCCCTGTCCCCTCAAGACCAATAGTGACAGCCAACCTAATTCAATCAACATCATCATCATCATCAACATCATCTATCAGCAGGCATGGTGCTGTTTTACATACATTGTCTTTTTAAAAATGTTCTTAATTTTAAGTTTAAATACTATTTATATTAACATTTAATTGCTTATAGATTTTAGTTTAGACTCCTTTTTGGCACAAATGTTCTCTCCAGGCCAAGGTGTGGACACACCCCTGGATGTAGCCCAGGACAGGGAGGAGAGAAGCCCAAAGGGGAACCTGGAGTTCTCCTTGGAATGGTAGGTCTGCATAGGGCCAAGGAATGAGGGGAGGGAGTAAGCAGAGCCGACAAGCAAGTTGTAGGTGGAGGTGACATAGGACAGTCTCAGAGGGGAGGGTAAAGTTTAGAAGATTTGCCACTACTTTTAGTAGAGAGACAATAGTGAGGCAAGAGCATTCAAGTGACTCAAGAGCATTACACAGCTAGGATTTATGCTAAGATTACAGTCAGGAGGGTGGATAACACTTATGGTATTAAGAGATGATGCCAAGAAGGGGTGGGCAGAGATAGTAGGGAGCAAGCCTTTGTTCTCCACCCTGATTGATAAATTCATCAACAGCCACTTGAAGAGTCAGTAGTGGTATCAACTGCTGCTCAACATGGCTGAGTGGGCACAGAATAGATGCTCATTAAATTTGTGTTGAAGTGAGTTATCTTTAACTTGTGAACAATGTCTCAGCAGACTATCACTCCTGATGTCTCAGTTGACTCTTTCACTGATAATTTTGTGAAAGCTGAGTCCCTCATAAAAGAGAAACCTATATGGGGTGTGTTTGTGCGTGTGCACACACAAGCATGCACACTTACATGGTGATGCTTGGATAAAGGTGGAAAATCTCAGTGTTGAGAAAGAACTGAAGAGTTCCCAAGGTGTATCACACAACACCACACTCCCAACATGAATTACTATGTCTCTTCACTCAGCCATCTAGCACTTATTCAGTGACAAGTGATGAACCAGGCAGTGAGTTAGATGCAGACGACACAAAAATGAAAGACATTCCTGCCCTCAGGGAGTGCAGCTTCAATTCTGACTGGTGGTGGATGCTGTCCTGATGGTGTATTAAAACACGGAGTCTGTTTCAGGACTGGCCGTGAATGCTTCTCACGAGCTCTTCCCCTCCGCCACCACCCCTGCCTCCTCATGTGGAAATGTAGCTCCAATTTTATAAGAGAAATTAGTGGAAAAATAGAGTTCCATTTATTTATTTATTGAAATTCATTTATTGAGATTCATTTACTACCACACTTTCATGGCTTATAATGAAGAATACAGTCAAAGCCCCAGCTAATTGAGTCGAAGTGATTGTATTTAAACGTGATGATTTTTAACATCTTTTCATCTCCCTAGTGCATCCCTAGATGCACTAAGCTTCCAAGTGGTAAAAGTATTACTTCATGTTCCCCCTCCCCTACCTTTAATTGTACCCTATAACAAGATGGTTGTATTGTCTTGACTTTTTCAGACATGTCATTACAAGGTCATATTTGAACTATTCTCTCTTGTCTGCAATGACAATAAAACCTAAAGCTGCTCTAAAAAATAAAGCCTACTTTAAAAACTTACAGGCATGTAAAGAAGCAGGAAAACATGATCCATAATTAGGAAAAATGTCAATCAATAGAACTAGATCCAGAAATGACAGATAATGGAATTAGCTGACAAGAGCCTTAAAACAGCTATTTTAAATACCATAAATATGCTCAAGAGGAAGTAAAGGAAAACATGAATATAATAAGAAAAATGGAAGATAAAAAAGATCCAATGGAACTTTTAAAGGTGAAAAATACAATCTATAAAACAAAAATATACTGGACAAAATATTACACAAATATAACAATATACTTTTTTGTGAGAACACATCGAAATACAATGCCACATATTAAACACATCAAAATGTTTCCCTATCATGGGAGGAGATGAATAGAAATGGTTATGAGATAAATGGGAGGAAATCAATTAGTTAGTGAATTAATTTTTTTTTAAAGAGTGGCCTGAAGCAGACCTATTATGATAAATGCCATGATGTGAGAAATATGATTAATTTAATTCTAAACACTCCAAGGAACAAAGGAAGGAAATAAAATTTAAAAAGTAGTAGAAAGGATAGGGAACTGAAGTTTGGGGGATGGCTAGAAACACCTTCCAAACAGGAGGCAGTTAGACCTTTGGAGCCTAAGAATCAGAGATTAAAAGAGTATCAGACTAATTATAATAGTTAACACTTACGTAAAACTAATCATGTGCCAGGCATTTTCCTAAGTGTTTGCATGTATTATCTCACAACCCTTTGAGGGAACATTCCATATAATCCTTGATGTCTCATTAATCAATGGAGAATAATGGTCGATTTATGTTTAAGCCAAAAGTTGAGGCAAAATAACACACCAGGGCCTTGGCGGGGAGGAAAGGGCTCAGTAAAAGCAATGAGGACAAGAGTTATTGTATTGAAATGATGATAATGAGGTATCTTATAGAGGCCCATCTACAAATAAGTAAGAAGAAATCTTAGATTAGTTTTGCGTGAAGAGAGGAGGGCCCAACCTGGAGCAATCAGCCTCCTCATCTCCATGCCATTTTCCACCATGACTCCCGACCCAGGGTCCTACTTTACAGAGGAGGGAATGATGTCCCGTAGGTCTTCCCACACTCACTTCTGCCCCCACACCCACCCCATGTAGCTGTGGGCAGAAGCTGACCAGGACCAGGCACATTCTCAGGATGCCTGGATTTTTTTTTTTAAACAACTTTATTGAGATAATTCATATACCATAAAATTCACCCTTTTAGAGTGTACAATTCAGTGGTTGGTAATATATTCACAGGTTGTACAACAATCCACATTATCTAACTCCAGAACATTTCATCACCTAAAAAAGAAACTCCACTAGCAGTCACTTTCCATTCTTCCTTCCCCCTAACCCTAGGCAACCACTAATCCACTCTCTGTCTCTGTGAATTTGCCTATTTTTGGCATTTCACATATATGGAATCATACAATAAGTGGTTTTTGGACACCTGGCTTTGGGGGGAATTTTCAGGCAAGATGACATCTCTGTCCTTCTGTTCCCTTGTTACAGTGTAAGGCTTCCAGACTACTTCACAAACCTCAGCAAAGAGCTGAGGGTCCTGACCTTGTCACAAGGAGTGGACAGCCAGAACAGGACAAACCCGATGACTGAGAGCTGTGGGACAGCTGGCCCTGAGCTTAGGAAGGGTAGGCCAGGGATTTCTCAAATGTGTTATGAGATAAATGGGGGGGGGGTGTGTGGAGGAAATCAATTAATTAGTACTAGCCAACTAAATAAATGTCAAGGAAACAGCTCATCCAAAAATTATAACATTATTTTTGATGCATCCAAAGTCTCATTTTTGTGATTTTTTTTTTAAGAAGTTGAAGTCAATATGTTGACGTTAAAAGGTAATACCAGGGCTGGCCAAGTGGCTCAGCTGGTTAAGAGCTCGCTTGGGAATGCCAGCTCTGAGCAGCAGGGCTGCGGTTCGGATCCCACATGAGGGCCAGTGACGCTCGCCCTCTACAGCTAAGATGATGAACAACAGCTCGACCTGGAGCTGGGCTGCTGTGAGTCGCCTGCGACGGCATAGGCTGCAATGGGGCTGCAATGGGGCTTCAGTGGGCTGCCATGAGCTACCATGAGTGGCCGGCAGCCAGCGTGAGCGACCAGCAGCCAGTGTGAGCTGCTGGGAGCCACTGTGAGTGGCCAACCAATGACCGGCAACTGATTGCCTCACCCAGGAAGAGCACAATGATCATACCAACTTGGGCCAGTGAAGCTACATCCTCCACAACTAGACTGAAGAACAAAAACAGCAATTTGTCTACCTGTCTGTTTCCTTCCCCGATTCCCCAACGCTGTTTCCCTTCCCTCACTTCCCCCAATAAAATATTTTTTTAAAAAGTTAATACCAGGAGGCAGAGCTACTGGGGGGAGAATGTACTTTTGAGTCAGACAAGAGTCACTTGGTTACTTTAAGCCTCAGTTTTCTCATCTGTAAGTGACGGTAATGATATCTACTCTGCAGGTGGTTGTGAGAATTAGAAAGAGTGAAAGTGGGCCGGCCGAGTGGCGCGATGGTTAAGAACTCACTTGGGATGCCAGAGGGCCCTGGTTCGGATCCCACATATGAGGGCCAGTGACACTGCCCTCTACAGCTAAGATGCTGAACAACAGTTCAACCTGGAGCTGGGCTGCCGTGAGTCGCTGGCGACAGCGTAGGCTGCAGTCCCTGTGGCAGTGGGTTGCCATGGGCTACCATATGTAGCCAGCAGCCAGCGTGAGCGGCCAGCAGCCGCAGTGAGCGGCCGTCCAGAAGCCGGCGACTGATCTGCCTCACCAGGGAAGAGCGCAATGATGGTGCCAACTTGGGCCAGTGAAGCAGCGTCCTCCACAACTAGATTGAAGAACAAAACGACAGCAACTTGTCTGTTCCCCTTCCCCCAATTCCCCATCACTGTTCCCATCCCCCCAATTACCCAATAAAAATCTTTAAAAAAAAAAAAAAGAAAGAGTGAAAGTACCCAGTGTATGCCTGAAGAACGGGGGTGTGGGAGGTTGCTGGATAAATGGCAGCTGCTAGAAATGTTTGTGCAGTGTATAGACTAGTAGTTAATGCCAGCCAGACCTGGATGTGAGATTGGCTGCACCACTCAGTTTCCTCACCTGCAAAATTGAGATGATGATAGAACCTACCTCATAAGGTCATTTGGGTGATCAAATGAGGCAATCCCTGCTAATGCTGAGTATTCACTGTAGCTAGGCTCCATTCTAGGCCTTCTCCATGTATAAACTTATGCAAATCCTTTCAATAATCCTATGAGGTAGATACTATTATTTTCCTCATCACACAGCTGAGGAAACTGAGGCACATGTTAAGTGACTTACCTAATGGTAGTGCTGATATTGGAACCCAAGCAGTCTACCTCCAAAGCCCACATGCTTCACCATTACTCTAAGGTGTCAAAGTTTTAATACAATTCCTGGTACAAATGAAGTTCTCAATAAACATCGGCTATTGCGATTATGAAATAATAATAATAATAATAATAATAATAATAATAATTTTAAAAAACATGCTTTGGCAGCTGAATTGGGTTAAGGTGTTTGATAAATCTCTAACTTTTAGTGGAGGATAGAGACTGGTCTTACCCATCTTTATATCCAAAAGTATTTGAAGCACAGTGCCTAGCATAGAATAAAGACTCAATAAGTGTTGTTGGATGAATGAGTTTTTCAAATTGATATATTAATTAACATACAATATGGGAGCTTTTTGGGGGAAGTCTGGTGATGACTGAGCTGTAGAGAGACCAGCCCATATTTAACCCACTTTGCCCAACCCTTTGCTTTCTAGGTCACTAAAGGGCCATGACTCTCATAAACATTTTAATTGGTCTGCTCTCGTTGCATAATCTCCATTCACTGGCTCCACCTCTGTCATCACCCAGTTCCAGACAATCACACCCAAACCCCTGGCCCTTTCCTACACACACATACACCTGGCCCATTAGACTAGGCTTTTCCATGATCAGGAAAGTTCCTTCTCTATCATGCACAAGATCGATCCATTCTCTGTCAATCTTATGCCTCCTCCCTGGATGACTCAGACATCCCAGGTCACTCAATTGTCCATAACTCTGGTATCAAAGTTGTCAAATTCCAGATTATATATATATATATATATATATATATATATATATATATATATATATATATATATATATATCAACTAGAAAAACAGGAATTCTTTGAGCAATCAAAGCATCCAACTCGAGATGGGGCTGTGCAGCTGCAGGGCAGGAACAGCTCAGGACTTCCTCCTCACCAAGCCATGTGGTCACTCTCTATGGGTGTTGACAAAAACCTCCTTGTGCCCTTGGAGAGAGGCCTGGCCTTTGCTCAGCAGCCTATGGCTCTCTAGGCTTGTCCCAAAAGCCCGAAGCTGGGCCCAGCACACACTTGCACACAGACTGCACCAGGCTTTTTCTTATAGGGAATTTCTATGCAAAAGTCTCCAGTCCTCCATAACATCAAGTTGTGGGCAGATCTGGCCTCCCTGGATTGGACTAGAGAGTACTGTGAGCAAAAGCCATACTTGGCCTGTTTCCCAGGTAACAATAACAACTTCCTGATTGTGACCCAAGTCAGGTATACAGATATGCGTGCCAAGAGGCTGAGAGCTAACCATGAGGACAGGGTGAGGGTGAGGTCCAGGAGCAACAGTTTAGCCCTGGGTGAGGCAGAAGGTCTCCTCCTGCTACCTCCAGTGTGTGACTCATTTCTAGGTTTCAGTTTTCTCAAGATTCACCCCCCACTTCCTTCTACTTATTCCTCTTGCCACTTGCAAACCAAGTTCCATTTGCCTTCCTTCCCTGGTAGCTATAATTTAGCTCTTCTCCTACTAATGTTGCATCTACCCCCTATCTGAAAAGCTGATCTCCCATTTTCCCCCACCCCCTAATTCTCTGGCCTGAGCCAGGCCTCCAGGCCCTCTGAACTTCTGACAACTCCAAATTCAAGGTAACTATACTTTGGCTGCCATCTTGCTCTGGCCCCATACCACTGCTCAGATGCATATTTCCTTTTCACATGAATATCTTCATTAGGACCATTCTCTGTGCTAGTCAGTTTTTAAGTTTTTTTATTACTTGGCCTCTCATCTCATTTCTATCTTGCACTGGACAATTTTCAGCCAGGTTTTTAGGAGTATTCTGTTAGATTGTTCACACTCAGAGGAAGGGAAGGGTGCCAGGTTCTGGGAGGTATGTGATTTCTACCTCAGAACTATCCTCTGAAATAAGCCTGAGGTTAGTGATGAGACATTTTTGTTGGAAAGGGCTTCATTCCAAATGTCCTTTGGTGAGAACTACGTGAGATTAGGACAAGAATTATTTGGAGGACTAATACATGAGCCATTGCACTTTTTGGTATTTTCATGGGGACCTTTCTTTTCCTTACCTGTGCACATAATGGCTGCAAAGACCCAGCACTGCCCGTAGCGCACTGGCTGGCAGCCTGTGGCATGCCACTGCCGCAGGATGGCCACACTGCCAGTCCACTCTGCAGGGTTGATGCCGTCTGAGTACTCCTCACACCATTTTCCATTGAGCACCCCATTGTCATCATTGCTGTTGATCTGAAAAGAAACCATATAGAGAAGAATTAGAAGAATCCTTTTCCTCAACAAGATGTGAACTGTGGGCTTTCTTGCAAGCCCCATGGGCCTGAGACAGAGGAAACTTAGATCTCATTTTACTTGGGAAATTCCAGACCTGCTGGAGAAGAGGTCAGGATAGGAAGCTGGATATTCTGACTTGTGCTCCACAAGTTAATCAATTTATTGTTCTATTTCTATATGCCCCCTTAACCCCTATCTCCCCATCCCTTGCAAAACTAGAGCTTGGCTCTGAGAGCTTTTGAAAACACTTCAGAGCAAAGGAAATTTAGAAAGCATAAGACCATTTCACAAACCAGAGCTACACTCAGCCTTTCCCAAAACATGCAATTTGGAATTAATAGAGGTGATGGCCCACACCCATCTAATATTGCTAAAACCTGTTAGCTACATTCTTTCATCAAGCCTTATCCAAAATGGCTTTGCAGGAGGGCTTGTTCCTCTTGACTCTTCATTTCCTCATTGAAGGGGGCAACTGTGAATGGGCTGGGCTCCCCTTGCATAGCTTCCTTCCTCCCTGGACACATCCTGGGTGGGCAAAGCCAGACCCAACCTCACCATGGCAGACACCACTCTGCTGATGTAGACAGGGCTTCCCCGTAGGGCACAGTCCGTGGCTGGGTCAGTCTGGAAGTTCAGGCTCTTGTCTAGCAGCTCCAGGCAGATGTCTATGATATTCTCTTCAAACTGGAAGGGGAAATGCAGAGAGGCAAGGCACCCATGCTTGGCACATGTAGATATGGAAAGAAATACATAAACCACCCCACCTAGCCCTCCAATGGAATGTGTTTGTGGAATACAAACCTATTTGGAAGGCAACTTTGTCTAGTAGCACAGCCATGAGCTGCCTCCTGGGCAGGTGCAGGGTCTCAAAGCTCTGTGATCACAACTCACCCAGTTTGTATGTCCTGAATGTAAAATCTCTGGAGTTTTTTCCAATGTGTCTGACTGGCTGAAAAGCCTGTTTCTTCCTCTTCTCTCCTCAATCCCCACACTCTTGTTGCTCTTGGGATGTTTTTGCTAAAACCACATTGCCTCTTCTTTCACCCCCACCTGCTGACCCAGCTCATCATTGGCAGCTACTGTTGAGGTGATGGCGCCAACTTGCCTTGGTGTCTGCGGACTGACTAATAGCATATGAGTTATGGAAACTTCCCACCCAAGGCAGGCTGACTCCTGTCCTTCGGGCTGGTTATGAATGCCACTTTTGAGGCCTTCCCTGAGCCCGAGCCTTCTTTAGCTCCATAGCCCTGGCTACATCTCCACTCATCAGGCTCCATTATAATGATATAGCCAAGGTCTGTCTTCCCTATCTGAGTGCATGCTCTGTATTTCTCCAGCTCTTCTCACGATTTTACACCTCAGACCTGGCACAGCACTCAGCACATAGCAGGGACTCTGTGCATCTTTGTTGAATGATAGTAAATGAATGCAGTGGTTCCATGTCACACTGGACAATAAGCAGGGTTAGGAAGCTTCTCTCATTCATCTTCCTCAGGGAACAGTTTGATCAGTTCACTTTCCTACTTAAAACGTTCAAAGGCCCCTATGGCCTACAGAATCAAAGCTCTAACCCCCTTCACAAGGCACATAAGACCCTCACTGATCTGGCCCCCTTCTACCTCTCTAGTCTCGTGTCTCAATATCCTCTGCCTCACCAGTTTTCCTCCAGCAACATCAGGCGCCTTGTAACCCCTGCAGCAGGCCAAACTGCTTCTCGCCTTTGTGTCTTTGCTCATCCTTCCCTCTGCCTCGGATATTTTCCCCACCTTCCTTCACTTAGCTAACTCAGTTCAAGCATCTCCTCTCCCAGGAAGTGACCCTGACAGCTCCATGCCCTTCCTCTAGGCGCCCAGAACAACTTGTGCTTATCTGGCAATCTTTATATATCCTGCTGCATGATAAGCGACCTGCTTATGTGACTGAGTTTTCACCAAACTGTGGGCTCAGGGACAGTGTTTAATTCATGTTTGTATCTCTAGCACCTAGAGTCCTGCCTGGCACTGAATAGGCATTCAGTATGTGTTCACTGAATAAGAGAGTCAGGGAGGACCCAGAGCTCAGAAAGCAACAATAGCTCACTTCTGTTTCTCACAGATGTCAACAAACTCCTCTCCGGGAGCTCTCTATAATCCCCATCTGCCTATGCTGAGTGAGGAGTTGGGGATGTCAGCTGGGGTCAGTTGAGGCTGCATGTCTCATCTAGACTATATCCACCTGGGGGGCCTAGGCTGGGCCTGAGGTCACATGTATTGGACAAGTCCTGGAGAGGAACCCATATCAAACTGATACAGGGCTCCACAAGCACTCCCGAGATTTCCCAGCCAACACCCATTCTGGGTGGCCAGGGCTGGTTCCCTCCCCTTGAAGGTTCCAGTGCCGGGGCTCAGCCTCAAGAACCCTTTTCCCTGGACTGGTTATGGACTCCCTGGAGCACCGGCTGTAGGCCGAGCTTTACACAAGAGGCAGGCTTTTAGCAAGGTAGGAGTTGCAGAGCTTTGCGATTAATGTGATGCTATTTTTACAAATAAAATCACATGTTTTAGATTATGTGTGGAAAACAAAATGTAGAGGAACATATACCACACTGGAAACACAGTTAACAAACAAAATATCATGGCCGTTCTAATCCTGTTGTCCAAATCAAACATGATCAGCAAAGAATACCTTCCAATTTTCTATGCCTGCTCGTCTAGTTCTCTGGAGTCACACCTCACATCTTCCTGGTGGCATTTAGTCCCCATTTGTCAGCAGTTCTGGGTGAACCTTGCATGAAGGGCATCGCCCACCCTCCTCCTGCTCCCTTTTCCCCTGGATGGACCATGAGTGGGACTGAGACTCACCTGTCCATAGTTCCAGGGGCAAGGGCGGATCCAGTTCTTGTTCCCTTGGTAGATGAAGCCATAATCATTCATGACATACTCCTGCCTCTGGGGCTCACTGTCCAAGTAGACAGTGTCCTCTAGGAATCAAAGTCGAAGGACACAAAGCATAAAAGTCATCTTGCCCTTCCTGCCCCATTCTCATCCCCAGGAGGCACAGTCCCATAGAAACTGAGCTCTGAGAAAGGCCTGAGCAATAGCATGAAGGGCAGCACTGCCCTTCAACACCAGCAACAGGCTCAATGTGAACATGAGGTGGAACAGTAAACATTTATCGTTAGTGAAATTTCTTGGTTTGCAAAGCACATTTACATCCTAGCCCCATTTTAAGGGTGAGGAAACAGGCTTAGAGTAATAAATAACTTGCCCAAATCACATATAAGTACAGAGTGAAATTTGAACACAGAGCCCACATGGCTCCATGTCTGCACTTTTTCTGCCATAGTCAACTAATCCTAGTTGGAAAAGAGCAAACAAGAATTTAGGGGTTAGCATTGACCTCATAATTCCTTTTGTAGGAATTTAATCTAAGGGAAAGTATTTAGGGAATGCACAAAGATTTAGATACTAAGCTGTTCATCTGAAAGCTGTTTATAACATGGAAAAGCTGGAAACAACCTAAATGCCCTATTCTTGGGGACTTGTTAAATAGTTATCTCCACCACAGAAGTCTGTACACTATTAATATAAGGATGAAAAATTGTGTATATATAAACAAAGAAATCTCTTATAATCCTACACATGTATGCATATATGCATAAATACGTATTTGGTTAAGCATAGAATATTTTTGTAAGGCTACACAAGAAAATGCTAACAGGATTTCCTCTGGAGTGTGTAACTTGGAGATTGGGATAGGTTTTACTTTTCTCTTTCTTTCTTTCTTTCTTTCTTTCTCTCTCTCTCTCTCTCTCTCTCTCTCTCTCTCTCTCTCTCTCTTTCTTTCTTTCTGTTTTGGTTTCCCTTTACTCTATTTCACAATGCACTTAATACTTTTACAATGAAGAAACTTAAGTTAACTTTAAAATGTATAATAAAGGTAAATGTTAACAGTGGTCAAACTTAATTGCAATAGTTTTCCTTTTAAGTAAAGATAACTTGGTTTATAATTTTAAAATTCTAGATAAATAAACAAATAGCAAGTTCTCCCTGCCCCACTTGTTAGTGGTTGGGAGTTGATGCTGAATGCATGGGACTGGGGAGGTTTGTGGGTTTTCAGGGAACAGGGGTCTAGAAATCCTTGATCGTGGCTCTCTGTGGCATTGACAAAGGGGCAGAGATAAGGGACCCCCACCCAGATCCCCTGCTTTACCTGGGCACCAGGGATTGAAGAGCAGAATGAATTCCCCAAGCTGGTAGGCTGTGACAGACCCCTGGAACGAGTCAATGTGAACCTTCAAGAGGTACTGACCCACGGCCGCCATGGGAGGAGCACACAAGCTCACCTCCAGGGAGGTGGCCTTGTTGGTTTCCAGCGAGGCCATCCAAAGGCTGGGACCACCACGATCTGCCAGGCTGAACACAGCCCGGGTCCCCTTAGCCAGGTCTGGCAGCAGTCCTGGGAAGGAAGTAGAGCAGAGGCTCCCTGAGGTGACCTCCCAGCCCCCAAGAATTACTCCCCTCACATACACACACCCCTGTGTGCCAGTAAGGGTCCTCACCAGTCTCAACCACAAAGATGATGTTGTCCAGGCCAGGCTGGAAGCCCCGGTTCTTGAAGTACAGAGTGATATTGAAAGCCTGGCCCCGGCGAACAAGGAGGCGGTCAGAGCTGATCTCCTCTGTGTGGTGCCACATGTTGTTCCAGGAGCTCTGAAAGTCTGTGACAGACAACTCCAGCCCTGCCATGGGGCAGCCTGGGGCAAATGAAAGAGCAGCACTGTGGAGCCTGGTCTGATCCTGTCCACCACTTACTAGTCGTACAAGCTTGGGCAAGAAGCTTAGCCTCTCTGAGCCTTAGTTTCCAAGTCGGTAAAATAGAATCTATAATACCAGCCTTACAGAGTTGATATGAGGATTAAATGAAGCTCTGTGCATGCAAGTGCCTCTTTCTTACTTCTTTCATCCCTTCTTTCCCTGTGTCTCTGACCTGTTTCTTCTTCCCTTACACCCTCCTGGAAATGCATGGGTTTTTCTCTCTGTCCAACTCCTTCTGTAGGTCTGGCCAAGTTTGATTGTTCCCTTCTGCCTACCATGTCCCCAGATTCATGCCAACATCCACTTTCTTGGACACAAGTTAAGAGTTTCACTTGTCCCTGTACCAGCCTCCAGATCTAGGAGCAAGTCCCAGGGTTAGCTGGCCCTAGGTTAACTGTTGCTGGGTTAGCTGTTGTGCTTTTAGCAATTTGCTAGCTCTCTGACTACCAACAATGCCAAATGCTTTGGTAGCTGGGATGCTGAGGACAGTTAAAGAAAGGCCCACTCCCACCAGCTGTCTGGAGCTCCTGCTAAGACACAGATTGACTTCACTATTTTTGCAAGTGTCTCTCCTCTAGAAGGCACCATTTTTTACCTCTCCAGGTTTGACCATGGTCCTGCCATGGTCCCCAGGCTCCTGGGCTTACAACCTTTAGATCACAATTCACTCACCCATCTCCTTCTCAGTCTATATCTATTCATGGGTTATATGTCCCTTCACTCCTTCCATTAAAATATCTGTGGCGTCCATCTATCCCTTTCCACATTTACATAACTCTGACCTTCTTACCCCACTCCTAGTGATTATAACAGCCTTCAGCAGGTCTCCTGCTTCCTATCTCTCCACAACACCCACCCTTAACACATCACCAGATTACCTTTCCTCAAGACAATTTGATCATGCCATCCTTTTGCTTTAAAAGTTCTGAGATACCCTACAGCCCACAGTACACTCCTTAACCTGACACTTAGGACTCTATACCTGGCCTTAACTCACACTCGCATTCTCACTTCTCACCACTCCCAGCATGGATCTTCTCCACCAGCCAATCTGTCCCCAAGCAAATGGTTGCCTTACCTGTCCATGTATCTTGATCCTGCTATAGCCCCAACATAGAATTCCCCTTTACTATCTAACCAAATCCCATCTGTCCCCCAATGTCTGTTCAAGGCTCACCTTCATGAAGCCTGTCCCAGTTGGCCCACCTTTCTTCCCATTTCCGACTGCTCTACACAGTGTTTAACTGCATCACTTATAGAGAACCGCTTAATTGACAAGTTAATATTATGCTCATCTGTTCATTTATATCAACAAACTTTTACTGAGAGCCTACTAGTTTCGGGCTCAGCCTGAAATGTTTTTGTAGTTATTTCTTTGGCTATCCTCCACCACTAGATGTAAGCCAATGAGGATAGGGACCAAGCTGTTTTGTCTCAGCTGTATTTAAAATTTAAGAAATATGAACCAAAGCATTTGGCAAAAATCCAATATTCTTTCATGACAAAAATACTCAACAAACTAAGATTAGAAGGAAACTTCCTCAACATAACAAAGGGTATTTACAAAAAACCGACAGCTAATACCATACTTAATAGTGAAAGACTGGATGTTATTCTCCACTAAGATAAGGAAGAAGACAAGGATGTCCATTCTCACCCCATCTAGTCAACATTGTACTGGAGGCCCCACTAGGATGGCTATAACAAGAAAGACAGAAAATAACAAGTGTTGGTGAGAATGTAGAGAAATTGGAACCCTTATACAATGCTGATGGGATTCTAAAGTGGTGCAGCTACTTTGGAAAACTGTCTGGCAGTTCCTTAAAATGTTAAACATAGACTTACCATAGACCCAGCAATTCCACTCCTAGAGATCACTCTTATACCCAAGAGATTAAAATACCCAACAGATTGAAAACATGTCCACATAAAATCTGTACATGAATGTTGATAGCAGCAGCATTCATAATAGCCCAAAATGGAAGCAACCCAAATGTCCATCAAACTGATTAATGGATGAATAAATGTGGTATATCCATATAATGGAATATTATTTAACCATAAAAGGAATGCCGAATATAGCATAACATGGGTGAAAGTTGAAAACATTATGCTAAGTGAAAGAAGCCAGACACAAAAGGTCACATAGTATATGATTCAATTTATGTGAAATATGTAGGCTGGGCAAATTCATAAAGACAGAAAGTAGATTAGGGTTTACCAGGGTCTGGAAGGAGGGGGAAATGGGGCATGACTGCTAATGGGTATGGGGTTTCCTATAAAAGAAATAAAGCATAATGGTCAGCACATTGTAGGTATTAAAAGATGTTTGCCAGGTTGAATGAAATTCTCTATCTTTTGCATAACCACCTTATACTTATTTCAGATTTCAGATTCAATGAACACCTTATTGAGGGCCTGATTACCATGTGGTAAGCACTGTCCTAGGTACCTTGGGACAGTTATCCATTGAATCCTCACCACAACAGTGGTCATGCCATGTCGTACACACTTGGAATTGAGAAAACCAAGGTTTGGGCAAATTAAATGTCTCGCCGAAGATTAAACTTAAGGTTATTGACCCAAGTCTTGTGCTCTTTCCATTACCCAAAAGCTGCTGCCCATTGCTGGCCTTCACTCATGTTCAGAAAGGACATCTGACCCACTGCAAGCTGGGAAAGCACTTGGCTATCTCCTAGTAGTGGAAAAAGAAGCTCATCCCTTTTGGAGACCAATTCACTAGACACAGATTGCTAACTGACCCTGATTCAGGTTGGGCACAGACCCAAACTATTCAACAGGAATGGCAGCATCTGCCTGACAGCAAACAGTGGGGCCAAAGCTCATACTTTGGATACATCCTGTGTCTAGTTAATCTCTGCCTATAACACAGGGATTATTCTTCAGCCCAAACACCAGCTATTCAAACAAAAGGTACATTTAACACTGGTCATATTTGTTCTCCTTGATGTGCAGAAAGAATGGGGTGAGATGATCAATAACATAGAAAGAAAATTATAGGAAGTACTTCTAAAGTAATCTCAGTATCTGTTCTAGAGAGACACTCCAACACAAGCACAAAGAGTCATAAATAAGAATGTATACTGCAACATTGCTTGTATAACTAAAAATGGGAAACAACCTAAATGTCCATCAATAGGGGACTGAATAAATAAAATCACTTACACCTATAATACAAAATACTATGCAACATGGAAAATACTGTGGTAAATCTACAGGTGCTGAGTGGCACTAATAGAGCTCCAAGACATACTGTTGAGTTGTCGAGTGAAAAAATATCAAGCTGTAGAAAAATATGTGCAACATGATGATATCATGGATATACCCAAAAAAGAACTCACACATGCTTATATTATGTACCACATTGAATATTATAGAATACACACACACACACACACACACACACACACACACACACACACACACAAAAGACTCGTAACAGTGATTTCTCTGGAGATGATGCTAGGGTTGAGGTAGCAGTAAGGGGCCCGTAGCTTTATCTGTAAATATTGTTTTATATTACTCCAACTATGTATTGGTATATTTATCGTGTAGTTAAAAATTATAAAAATGTAAAAATAAAAATTTAAACACAAAACATATTAAATGAAGGTGTTACATTTGTAGAGGTTTTAGCTCATTCTTATAAATGGTTTCGACTAACCTTTTCCTCTACATAACAGCTTTTTCTAGAAAACGGGAGTTGATACAGAGAGAAGGGTAGTGGTGGGAAGATTAGCTAAGATGAGAGACAGACCCTCTGAAGTGGAGGAAGAATAGAAGATATGAAGATTCAGAGAATTTTAGTGCTGGAAGACAACTTTAAGATTATCTGGTCCAATCCCCCTAAGTTTTCAGGCATGGGAGCTGGGAACTAGAAAAATGAGTTCAATGTCAAAGGGTCAGCTAGTAGAAGAGAAGGACAGGAACCCTGATCCCCTAATCCCTGGCCCTGCTCTGTCCCACCAGGCTATGGAAGCAAGCATGTTGGCACGCAGCTGTCTGGCTGTTTGACTGCTGGCATCTACCTTGTCTCCTGGCTCTCAGGCTATCAACAAATTCTGAGGTTCCTGGGGATTCTACTTCTTCTGCTTCCATTCTTTATTTACTCCTTTCTTCCTCTGAATTCAGCCTCTCTTGACATCCTAGAGTCACTCCGTCTTCCTTGCCCCTGACCATCAGCAGCCCTATGGGCCTCCCCTACCTTGTGCCATGGTGACTGCCTCTGATTCCTGGGCTGCTCCCCACAGAACACCTGGATAGCCTGGAGCTTCAGGAAACTGCTCCTGGAGTGTCTGTTTCCCCTTCCATTCCCAAGACTCCAGGAGACACCTAAGGTGGGGCTGGCTGAAACACTGCCACCTGCTTACTGGGCAGATCACAACTGGTTTTCTTACTTGCCCTCAGGTTTTTCTTGGCAGTTTTTTCTCGTCTAAGATGAAGTGTGGCCCAATGAACTGTCAGGGCCTTGTGCCACGTGGGCCTCTGATAGCCTTGGGCAATGGGGCATTCACTGGCAGGTGCTGTGCTATAGTGGGGGTGAGCAGGTGGGAGAGATGAGCTGATGGGGCCTCTAGGGGAACGTAGAGGGGCTGCACCCTGCAGGGAGGAATATCAGGATCCCAAGACTTCAGCTCACAGCTGAGAGAGCCTCTTATGCCTAGAACTCTGCTCAGCACCTGAGCCCTCTCTTTGATCCTGGAAAGTCACTTCCTGGACATCAAATGCAAACACAGCCCACTCTGGATCACCTCGGTATGATTTTTTGGTATTTATTTTTTGGTGGAGGTATTGTCTTGAGTGAGACCTGCCAGGTCCCAGACGACTCTCAAATAAAAGCACTAGGGGAAGAAAACGTGGGAAGATTCATGGAAGCGCTTTGGAAATAGGTGAGAGGGTGGGGATGCCAGTGAGTGACTTTGATTCTAGTAAGGAAAGTACAAGTTCTTGGAGTGAGTGTGTAAGAGAGAAAAGAACAGATGGGAGAAGCGAGAGAAAAGGAGAGGGGAAAGGATCTTTTTAGGGAGTGGGTGGGACACTCTAAAGCACCCCTCACTCACACCTACACTACCTTTCCCTCCTGTGGGACACTTTTCCCTGTGTCCCCCTGCCTCCTGGGTCCCTTATCCTCTCTACTCAGAAACCTCAGTCACCAGCTTCCGCCCTCCTTCCTGTATTTTCAAATCTCTCTGTCTCCAATCAGATTTGAAAGTGTGTGTATACATGCACATATAAAATTCACTGCCTAACACCCTCACTCTTTTATTTATTTATTTATTTATTTTTTCTCACCCTTTTATTCCCTGTTTTTTTAAGCCACTTTTTAGTTCGGGGGAGGAAATATTTGAAAGGTCAATTGGAAAATTAAAGATGGCTAATATCCTCATGCCCCTGGGAGGCCTAGTAGAGAGCCTGCCCACTGTCCCTCCCCCAGTGACACAAGTGACACAGCCAGGCAGTTTTGGGCCACCAGACAGGAGGGGCAGTGACTAAACAAAGGAGAACCCGGCACTCTAAAAATGGAGCAAGGTTTCAGATTTCCGCAGGAGCCAGCCCAGGTACCAGGTCTCCAATGGGTGGGCAGGTAGCCACCTGGAACACAGCAGTGACAAAGCAATGACAAAGCCACACAGAAATGTCCATATCATTTAATGGGTACGGGTGTACCTGGCACACAGGGTGGAGTGTGGGTGTGCAGATTCCTGCCTTTCCTGCCCAAAGCAGCCTGCGAAAGCAAAATAAATACAAAACAGAGAGGAGGAGGCAGAGGAGGAAAAGAAGGAGGCGAGGCTGATGAGAAGAGCAGAATGAACCTGTCGTCACTGAGCAGGTGAGGAACAGAGGACGAGGGCCACACCTGCGAACCCATGGGAGGACATGTTCCTTCTCTGTTTCTGGATCCTCTAAATTTTCCATGATGGAGAGGTGTCAATTTGTAATAACTTTATTTTTTATTTTTTTATTGAGATATAATTGATATATAACATTGTGTAAGTTTAAGGTGTACAACATATGGATCTGATGCATTTATGTATTGCAATATAATTACCATCATTAGCTAACACCTCCATCAGGTCAAATAATTATTTCTTTCTTGTGGTGAGAACATTTAAAATCTGGTCTCTTAGCAACTTTGAAATACATAATACAGTATTGCTAACTATAATCACAACACTGTGCATTAGAGCTCCAGAACTTATTGTTTTTCTAACTGGAAGTTTATAACCTTTAACCAAAATCTCCCCCTTCCCCCCATCCCCAGCCCCTGGTAACCACCATTCTACTCTCTGTTTCTAGGAGTTCAGCTTTTTTAGATTCCACATACAGGCATACCTCATTTTATTGTGTTTTGTTTTATTGAGCTTCATAGATGTTGCATTGTTTTACAAGTTGAAGGCAAGACCCTCCACCAGCAAAAAGATTATGACTTGCTCTATTGCGCTGGTCTGGAACATAACCCACAGTATCCTCAAGGTGTGCCTGTATAAATGAAATCATATAGTATTTTTCTTTCTCTGACTTATTTCACTTAGCATAATGCCCTCAACGTCCATCCATGTTGTAGCAAATGGCAGGACTTCCTTCTTTCTCACAGCTGCATAATATTCCATTGTGTACATATTACATCTTCTTTGTCCATTAATCCATTGGCACTTAGGTTGTTTCCATATCTTAACTATTGTCAATAATGCTGCGATGAACGTGGGGAGGCAAATATCTCTTTGAGATAGTGACTTTATTTCCTTTGGATAAATACCCAGAAGTAGAATTGCTGTATCATTTGGTAGCTCTATTTTTAACTTTTTGTGGTACCTCCAGACTGTTTTCCATAGTGGGTGAACAAGTACACATTCCCAACAACAGTGCAGAAGGGTTCCCTTTTCTCCACATCCTTACCAACACTTATTATCTCTTGTCTTTTTGATGATAGTCATGTAATGATAACTAAAAAACACAATGAAAGGGGGTGGGGGGAAGGCCAGAAAGATACATGGCAAAATGTTAGCAGAGATTTCTTCTGAAATGGGGAAAATTAGCAGTGATTTTTCTTTTGTTTCTTTTCACTTTTTCTGTTCTTTCCAAATTATCTAGAATGAGTACAAATGATCCTGAGAACCACAGGAAGAAAATACAAAAGAGTGGCTCTCTGACCTTAAAATAACAACAACAAAAAATGCAGGGCCTGCCGAGTGGCGTGTTGATTCAGAGCTGGCTTGGGACACCAGCTATGAGCAGCAGGGCCCCGGTTCAGATCCCACATGAGGGCCAGTGACACTGCCCTCTACAGCTAAGATGGTGAACAACAGCTCAACCTGGAGCTGGGATGCCGTGAGTCACCGGTGAAGGCGTAGGCTGCAGCCCCTGCTGCAGTGGGCTGCCCTAAGCTACGGTGTGTGGCCAGCAGCCAGCGTGAGCAGCCGGAAGCTGATGTGAGATGCCAAGAGCCGCCGTGAGCAGCCATCCAGAGGCCGGTGACCGATCTGCCTCACCCAGGAAGAGCACAATGATAATACCAACATGGACCAGTGAAGCAATGTCCTCCACAGCTAGACTGAAGAACAAAAGGACAGCAACTTGTCTGTTCCCCTCCTCCAATTCCCCAATTTAAAAAAAATCTTTTAAAAAAATGCAAAGGAAGAGAGACTGGGGCCAGTTAGGGTGACCTGGAGATGTTGAAAGACTAGGGGGAGTGAGAGAAGGGAAGATGGGGTCAGGGAAACTGAGGGCCTGTTTTGGGGAGCAGCCAGCTACAAAGTGCTCCTCAGTTATCTCGGGGGCCACCCTGAGTTGGGCCGGCCCAGCTCTCCCTATGCTCTCAGGCCAGCAGCAGAGAAGTCCTGCTGGGCAGCTTCTGGCCTGTCCCCATAGCACGGTAGTGACTTGTCCTCCCAGCCTACCCAAGCCGTCCTCCCCAGACCTGCCTCCAGCCGCTGCCTGCAGGCTAACTAAGGCAGTTTAAATGGAGAGACTGTGACCCTTGATTCCAGAGAGGCTGATTTAGAGGGATCAAGTTGGGCTTATTCTGTGCATGGGCCCTTAAAGAGGGAGAAACGACAGGAAGAGCAGGAAGGGCCCAGCCACACAGCAGGCAGCCAGGCCAAGAGGACCAGCTGGTGGCAATAAGTAGCTTGTTAGCACAGAAGAGGCAACACCAGTGACCAATAAAGACATCTTTATTGTCTCTTCCCAAGATACACAGTGGTTCTAACAGAGCTTCATTCACCCCCAGGCAGGCCAGGAAGAGGACAAAGGAGGAGCAAGGATAACATCCCACTTTTAGGAGTAAGGTAAGGTGGGGAGGGGCTGGCTGGGCATGGGGCCAGGGCTTGGGCAGGGGCTGAGGCTACAGGGTAAGCGTCTGGAGGACAGGGTAGGACTCGGGGAGGGGTTGGGGGACACTAGCAGGGCATCAGGAGAGTGAGGGGGCCAGGGGAGGGGCTGGGGGACAGGGAGGGCCTGAGGAGAGTGTGGCTGGGGCTCAAGAAGCCCTGGCTGCAGCTACGTAGATGTCCCTATAGCCCTTGATGTCCTTGACTTCACTGCTGCTGACGCGGACTTGCAGCTGGCGTAGCCCAGCTTTGAAGGGGTAGAGGTCCAAGTGAATTTGGATAGTGTGTCCAGCCACCAGAGTCCCAAGGCTGAAAGTCAAAAAGAGCCTGTGAGAGCCTTGAGGAGTAACTGCTGGGGTGGGTGACTTGGTTTCCCCTTCTGGTTGGTAAGCACTTCCCACCTCCCAATACCAAAGAGCTAATCTTCTCTGAAGAGGGCGGGAAAGTGGGAACAAGGAGGCACTATTCAGGGCACTGAGGACCATCCTGTGACCCCATGAGGTACCCCTTATCAGAGACCAGCATGAGACAGGTGAATGGTGATAACACTTACTCATTGGATATCTGCCCATGAATGAGGCCACTTCCCTCTAGCACCATCTTGCAGTGACTCAGAGCCACCGTCCGGGTGTTAGTGAGGGTGACGTGGACTCTCAGTGCCTTGCCCACCTCAGCTCTTTCAGGCACCTGTGTGGAGAGAAGACAGGGATATTGTGGGTAACTGGCCTCATTTCTGCACTCCAATTCAGTAATCTCACTCCCCCATCCCTCTGTTGACCACAGGGACTATTTATTTAGAGCTAAGCCACTACATTTTGGGAGAAAAGAATATGAGTTGAGAGTACTCAAGGTTAACACATTAAGCCTGGCCTGTCTTAATAGGTCACATTACTTCAGGAAGCCACCACCAATTGGGAATTGGCACTAAGTTGAAATCTATTTCCCTCTCCACCATCTAGTTCAGGATGGCAATTAGATTTCAATTTAAATACTAGCTCCAATCCATTCATTGTGGCTAAAAGGAATGCTGTGTTAAAAAGGATTCCTAGGACAAATCCATAGTCAGTGAGAGTGCCATAATTGATTAGTAGTGTCTGACACAGGCATGGGATTAGGAACCGGTGTTATGTATGCTATCCACATGCTATCAGCGATGTCATTCTGAGGCCAAGGTCACAGGATATATTAATGGCAAACCCAGGTCCTTTCCCCCATGCTTCTCTGTCTTCATATACATCAGCAGAAACACTCTGAGTTTTTCCAGGTACATTCAGGGCATGACATGTGAGGTCTGTCATAGGGCAGCATGACCTTGGCCTGTGAGTGGGAGGCAGAGATTCTGTCCTACTTACTTCTACAGCCCTGGTGCCCAGCGTAGTGCCAGCCAAATGATGGATATTTGGTAAATGAGTGTGGAAATGAAATGACCTCTGACCACCCAGATCCTATTGTGATTATGTTCTGGCTCAACCAGAGAATCGAGAAGGAAGAACACCTCCTGACTTCTCTGGAATTCAAACAAAAGATTCAAGTTTCTTGTACTCTAATAAGGGTGCCAAAGTATAGGCAAAAGAAACCTTTGGAATCCATCATAGTCACACAAATCATCCCCAGGTCCCTTACCAATGGGGACCAATTAATAGCCTACTTGGCATCTGATGTGTTTGCATTGGATCCCGTTATAACCAGGCTCCAGGTAACGGGCAGAACTCTCACCTCAGCACCAGGCTGCCTACACCACTGTTTGCCCCACCGTGGAGACTGCCTGGCTTCACTTGGCCTGACATCATGCCTAGGTGAAAGCCATTAGGCGGCCAAATGGTTTATGATACAGAGCCACTCAATTCTTGTTGCGGAGGTGGGGGAAAAGGTGTGCTGCTGGAAATCCACCAGGTGCAAAGTCAGGTTTGTACTAGGCCAAGGGGAAGTCTTTCAGAGCGGGAGGAAAAGGTGGGGAAAGGAGGCTTTGAGGAAAGGAGCCCTGGTAATAGGAGATGGGGAACAACAGCCTGCCCTTCATTTATTCTTCCTCCACTTGTATCCCTTCCTCATGCAGTGGCCTCACCAGCCCCTTAAGCCTCTGAACTCAAATCTGAGGCTCACCTTTCATTTATTTCCCCTTTCTTCTTACCCCCATCTTATCAGCAATCCCCTTTTGAATTTGACTTATTTCTTTCAAATCTCTCTCCCCAACTCCAATTCCGTCATTACCTTTCTTGTCTCTGCGTCTGCAAAGCTATTGTCTCACTTAAAATGCCTTCATCTCCACCTCATGTCTCTATATAGTGTCTTCCTATATCCTCCATTCCATTTGTATCTTGTCAAATGTCACCTCCTCTGGGAAGACGTCATGCTCAGCCCTGCGCTTTGCACAGAGCACAAAAGATCAAACCATACTGCGCTTTAGTCATCTATTTGGTGTTGAGGCAGGGGCTGTGTCTCATTTGCTGCTGTACACTCAGGTCCAGGGTTGGGTGAGTTAGAGGGCCCCTGAGTCCCATTTCTGCCCAGATGTCTCACCTCAATAGATAAGTGGGGAAGCTCCAGAGAGATGTCTTTCAGGACCAGTATGAACCTCCTCATCCCCTCCACCTTGGCAATGCCAGACACACGGATCAGCTTCTCATCCGTCAGCTTGTTTCTGTAATTGTTGTAGGGTAGCAAAAGTGGCCACTGTATCTCTAAGTACAGACAAAAGACATCTTGAGTCTGGGGAATAGTCTCAGAAAGAAAGAGAGGGCTGGGGAAGGAAACATATGTGAGAGAGGAAAAGGTAGGGTGTGCGAGAGAATATGTGTGTGAGTCTAGATGGATGTGTGAAAGTGTCTGTGTGTGTGTATGTGAGAGAGACAGATAGTGTGCTTACCCTGCCCCTTTTGCCCCCAGAGGTCACTGCTATGTTTCACCTGGTGGGATGGCAGCAGAGAGGTACAGCACTTGGCATTCAACTTCATGCCAACAGCAGCTTCACTGCCCGGCGTGTGTGTGTGTGTGTGTGTGTGTGTGTGTGTGTGTGTGTGTGTGTGTGTGTGTGTTGGGATGCAAGGGGTCTCTGTGTGATCTGGTTGGGCCAGCCCAGCTTTGTTCATGACCCCAAAGTTACCTTCCCTATAGGTAACTTTCCAGGCCGTCCTCATACTCACCCTCCCCAAAGTCCAGGTTTAAGTGCACTGTTTGCCTCCAGAGGGGCTCCCGGGTGCCACCGTTGTGCAGCAGGGCCTGCGCACAGAAGCGCACCTCCAGTCTGATGGGCCCCCGGGGGTGGGCGCTGTCTGGCACCCTGCCGGCACGCAGCTTCAGCAGCAGGTCCTGGCCCCACTCAGGTGTCCCGGCCAGGTGAAGCTGCAGCCACACTGGTTGATTCCGAAAGCCCCCAGACCCCAGCAGATCCAGGAAGGGTGAAAAGGTCCTCCCTGATCTCAGCATTTTCCGGGAAGCCTTTATGAACACAGACCGCTCCTCAGGGGACCCTGACAGAAAGGAGAGACAGGAAAGACATCAGTGGGAGGGGTGGAGAGGACCTTCTTTGGGAAAGAAGCCACTCAACAACTCCCAGCTCCGCTCCCGAAGCCCCAACCACAGGAATAGCTGCGTCAGGAGGCAATACAGCATCATGGCTGAGAACATGGGGCTGGCTGTTGCTTGGTGATGGGTTCAAATCCTTGCTCTACCGTAGTCCCTTAATCTCTCAGTGCTCAGTTCTATCATCTGTAACCTGGGGATATCTCCTTGCCTCATAGAGTTGCCAACAATGTGGGCTAAAGGAGTTATTCTTTTTCGTCAATATTGCCACCATCATCACTGTCATCATTATTAAAGCCAGGGGCTTATCTCCCCTGCCAGCATCCTCACTTCTAAAATATATGCCCATGCCTTTTATATAGAGTGTCAGCTCTTGTCCTTGGGGGCTACTCAACCTTCAGGTTTAACTGCAACTCACCCCAAACTGTGGACCTCTGTAGAGGCACTGTTCCAAGCACTTTCTGCATGTTTCTTCATTTCACCCTCACAACATCCCTCTGAGATGCTGTTAACCCATTTTACAGATTAGAAAGTGGAGGCATGGGGATGGTAAGAATATGTCCAGGCTTATACAGCTAGAACATAGCAAGCCTTTGATTAGTACTCAGGCAGCCTGACTTCACTCTGTCCTTCATCACAGGGACATCTACTCCCTTCCATAGGCTCAGGAGCCCTTTCTCTCCATGAGCTTCCACGTCTCCCCTTTCTGCCAAGACATAAGGAAACCATGAGGTGACCCTAGGATGGAGGTGCCAGATAAAATAAAGGACATTCAATTCAATTTGAATTCCAGATAAACAACACATACTTTTTATTATAAGACTTATATGCAATATTTGAGACATACTAATAAAATATTTATCTGAATTTATCTGGAATTCAAATTGAACTGGGTACCCTGTGTTTTTATTTGCTAAACCCAGCAACCCCGAACCTGGCACCACATGACCAGGATCCAGGCAAGCCCTGGGAGTTTGCCATAAGGAGGTTAGTAGGTGGTAATCGTTTTAACGTGGGAGCCATCCCATCAGGAAGCAACACAAAGGAAGTTATACCCACCTCCCTCCTCAAATCCCTGGGCCCCAGGCACCTTCTGGATACTTGTAGAAGCTGGTGATATTCTGGCGCTGGTCTGACCCTGCCATCTTGGTGCTGATTTCCTTCCCGATGGAACTGCCATTATGGGCTAAGATTTCCTGGGCCTGGCCATCCCCAAACAGCCAAATGACTTCATCGGCGTTCACCTCGGCATACACAAATGGGGTGTCATAGGCCAGGTGGACCTCTCCTTCCCTGATGGCCTTCACAGAGGCTGGGCCACAGCAGAACAGGCCTGTGCAGGGAACAGGAGTTATGGACGGCTAACATGATTGTAGGCATGTGGACCGGGGCAGCTGGTCATGATTGTGGGAAGTCGGGAGATCAGATGGGGAAGAGCAGTGTGGCATTAATGCCTGTCTGCAGTTACCATTAATTCAGCTGACCCTCATGGCCACCCTGTGAAACTGCAGTTACCAGCATCATCTTCCCGACTCTATAGGTGAGGAAGAGACTGAGAGGGCCTATGATTTCTCCGAGTCACCCAGCTGCCAATGGCAAAGTTAGATGCCTGACCTGAAGCTGTCTCTGCTATGACTTTGGGAAGGGGACGAAGTCAGAAAAACACCGCTCCTTTCTAGCCTCCTGCTCATCCTGATGGGCCTTTCCACGGAGCCCAGACCCTTCCATGGTGGTCCTCACTCACCGCTGCTGGTTTGCTGGGGGGTGGGATCCAGGACCTGCCACCCATTGTACCCTGGCGGGAGATCTTTCCGGATCATCCAGCACTCATTCCAGACATGGAAATTCCTACAGAAAGGAGACAAGAACTCATGTTTTCAGGGAGTTTGCCAGGTATGAGACACTATCCTAAGTGCTTTATATCATTGTTTCTTCAACTTTTTTTTTAACTTTTTATTTGGAAGTAATTTCAAGCTTACTGTAGAGTTATAAGAATAGTACAAAGAACATCCTATACCCAATTTATCTATTGTGAACATTTTGCCCTATTTGCTTTATCATTGCCTTTCTTTCAATACGGATATGGCAATTTGTTTATTTTTCTACTTCAGTGCACATTTCCTTAGAATAGGGATATTCCCTTACATAATCTTGTACAGTTGTCAATCTCATATATTTAATATTGATACAATAATTTTATCTAATTTACTGTCTATATTTCAATTTTATCAGTTGACCTAGTAATGTCCTTTATAGCATTCTTTTCCATCCAGTCCAGGGTCACACCTTGCATTTAGTTGTCCAATATGCTCTATCTCCTTTCATCTGGATCAGTTCCTCAGTCTTTGTTTTATTACATTGGCATTCTGTTTATTTATTTGTTTCCTTGTTTTACCAGAGGGCCCCTCATTTGGGGCTTGTCTGGTGTATCCTTGTGACTAGACTCAGGTTATAAACTCACAGGCAGAATTCTACATGAGTGATAAATCCTCCTCAGTTAAACCACTGCTCGAATTCACACAACTCAAAGGTCTTACCTGGAAATTGGCTGGAAAAGGAAAAATAGGAAATCAGATTTGCGGTAGAGCAGAGGAGAAAGGAACCAGGGGAAGAGACTGGAGATACAAAAATAAAGGGACACACAGAGATACACACACACACACACACACACTCACTCACACACTCTCATTCACACTCACACACACACACTCACACACTCACATTCACACACACTAGTGCACTAGTGCACACAGGGAGGGAGTGAATATGTATGTATGTGTAGGGAGAGGAAGAAGTTGAGAAAGACTGAAGGAAGTAGGAAGCTAGTTCAGGCTTCGCCCTGACAGGGGAAACAGAGAATGGTGCAAACAGAAAGACCCAATGAAGGAAGAATAAAATGAATGCAGATTTTGAGGTCAGTATTCAGAAGGTGCACAATCTATTCATTTGGTTGTGGGCTTCAGAATGTTATCCCATAGTCTCTGTCTCTGAAATGAGTTTGATGTAAAGATCTAATTACCCAGAACAGTCTCCTGGGTTGGGGACTTGTTCTCTGAGCATCAGTAACAAGATACAGGGCAATACTGCCTCACAGCTATTACAGAAAGAAACAGGTCAGTTTTCCTACTCTACCTGGGATAGAGCAGACATCTGTTTGAGACAGTGCCCCTTACCATATTTTGTCTTGTTTCTTAGCTGATAGCATCTCTGCATTTCGGTCATAGTAGGTGTCGATGGTCAAGTTTCCATCCACGTTGTGTGCAGAACGGAAATTAGAAACAACACGGGTTGGAACACCTAAGCATCTCATTACTAATGTGAAGAAAAGCATGGAGAATCAGTGAGTTCATTTCAAGCAGAATCATTGGTCTCCCAAGCATACTTTCTAACTCTCTAGCTGGACGAGAAAAGAAAAGCCAAGATTCTTGCAGACCCATACCTGTAACTCCTTTATCCTTAGAGCACCTCACCCAGGCCCTGCTGCCTACCTGCCCTGTTGATGGTCTCCATTCCACCAGGAGAAAATAAATCATTTGAGGGTAATTTAAAACAATTAACAACTCAATTTGTCATTTAGAAATGTTTCCATTCAGCGACTTTCCAAATTCAAAACAACCTAAAACATTTGATAATTCTAAAGAAAAATTTAAAACTCTAGGCCTATAGTGTGGCCAGTATCAGAGGAGAAATTGTGTGACCTTAGGTAAGTAGCTTAACTTCTCTGGGCCTTTGTCCCCTAGTGTCACAAAATAAGGAGTTGGACCAGATGATTTTCAGTTTGGAAATTCTGGATCTGTAATTCTACTGAAAGACAAGGGTTTGGAGGAGGTCAGAAAGAAATCAGAGAATGGATAGAAGAGCAAGATAGACTTAACAGATCCATGGAAGACTTCAGAGACAAAAGGAACTTGTGTGTATGAGGCAATGACCATCTTTGATAAGGCAACAGCACCCCCTTGTGGCTCTTAGGATCATGCTACAAAGGCTTTTTAAAGCTGAGTTAAAATTTCACAGATCTAGTCACACGAAGCAGACATTAGATCACCACCACCATCACACACACACACACCCCACACTCCACCCCACGCCCCACCCCACCCCCACACACCGCACAACACACACACACACACACCTACACCTACACCTGTCCAGGGCCAGATAAAATCAAGCCAATAACCAGGTGTGACCTTTGGAACATAGATCCCTACCTATGCCAGCAAGCTGAGTTTAAAGATAGGTTTAGAGCCGGCCGAGTGGCGCGGTGGTTAAGAACTGGCTTGGGACACCAGAGGACCCCGGTTCGGATCCCACATATAAGGGCCAGTGACACTGCCCTCCACAGCTAAGATGCTGAACAACAGCTCAACCTGGAGCTGGGCTGCCGTGAGTCGCCNAAATAGACCATGCCCAGCTCTACCTCTGAATGGTCCCTACCCCTTTTCCAATCTATACGTGTCCCCACTGTAACCACACTTCAAGCAAAATTCAGCATCTACCTCCTCCAGGAAACCCTTCCCAGACACTTCAGAACATGGCAGTATATTAGCATCTGTAACAATATTTTAATATCTAGCTAATATTTACTGTTATTAAGATCAGGCTCTATATGCATTATCTCCTATCCCTATAAACACCCAACAACCTATTATTAACTCCATATTACTGATGAGCAGGCAGAGATCAGTGAGGTTAAGTAAATTTCCCAGTGTTGCTTGCCTACTAAGTGGCAAAATTGTCATTTAAATCTAGACAGTTTGACTCCAGAATCTAGCTCTTAATCTCTGGCCTGTGCTATTCCTCTGGAGGTTCCTCATCACCATCACCACCTTTTTTTTTCTTCAAGTAAATGAATATCATACTTTATTCAAATAAAAACATAATGAACAGACCTAAGAGGAGCTGTTCTGGTGGAAAAACTGGGGCGGAGTCGCCCTGGCTTCTCTGTAAGGCCCTAGGGATCCAAAGAACACAAAAACCACAGTTCCACCTCAACCTTCTCTTCCTAAAATGCCAGCTGCTCAGGGCAGAACCAGCTCCAGGACCCACTTGGTCTCTCTCCTGGTCTGCAATTTCTTAGACTGTGAGCCACTTATTTGTGAGTTAATCAGGTACTGCTATGTTGTTTCTTTGACATATTATTTTCATTTAATGGTGTCTACATGATTAACTATATTGTTTGATTGTTTACACCCAGCACTCAGCATTCAAATAGCTGCTGGCAGGAGAACGGCTTTCTCAGCTGGCTTCACAAGTTAAATCATTAGGTCCTTTGCAGCAAATATAACACAGGATTAATATCCATAATATATTAAAGTTTCTATAAATATTAAGAAGTATTGCTGTAATCAGAGAAATGAAAACTAAAACAATAATGAGATCACTTCTTTGATTCATTCAAAAATATTTAAAAGAATACTCTTAACCTATTTTGTAAGGGTATAGATGGAAATAGACTATCTCATATATTTGATGGAGGGAGTGTAAATTCATATCAACTTTTTAGAGAAATTGGTTGATATTGAAGGGTAGAATATGCCATCCCAAAATATGCCACTTTAGCATAAAGGTTATTTCGAGCTAAAGGCAATTGAGAAGAAGCAGATATAAGAAAAACTCTGTCCTGCCCCCATTTGCCTAAAAGCAGGACATGCATTTGTAAAGGTGTCCTCCCTCCTCTCTATCAGGAAGAACAGAAGTTCATCACCAGGGACAGCTCTAGACCCTCATCAGCACAGAGAAGCACTGGAGGAGTCTGTACAACTATTAACCGGCCCTTATCTTCCATTAGTTCCCCCATATAGTTACTATCCTATAATTTGCTGCCCTAGAAACTCAAAGTCCTTTCCTTTTTCTTTCACTTCTCTAAAAATGCATTATTTTTTTTGTTAAGATGCTATAGAAGCCCAAGTTCTAACCACCCCTTTAAGTTACTCATCACTGTATGCTCCTATGTGTATGTGCAATGCACATGTTAATAAACTATTTGTTTTTCTCTTATTAGTCTGTCTTTTTTCAGTCTAATTTATAGGTCCCCAGCCAAGGAACCTAANTTAAAAAAAAATTAAAGACAGGTTTATCCCACTCCTCTACTGCTCAGGAGGAGCAGATGGTGCCTACTGAGGCTGCTGAGAGGATTACAGGGCTTTGAAACATAAAAGGACAATTGAGATTGACCAATCTTTTTGTTTCAATTCATTCAAGAGCCCCAAAGAGTGCCACTGGTCCACAATCACTTGTCCACTCCCAGCACATCTTCTGGGCTTTTCACAAGCCCTTAGCAAGAGTGAGAGCTAGACCAGGGTTATAAGTGGCCAGAAGCAGCTTGACAGGAGCAGAGCTGCCCTTGCTCAATGGCCTCAGAACTCTAGGGCCTGAGAGTGGGAAGAGGTATGCAGATGCAGCAAGGATGCAGACCTTGTCCCGCTGATCCCAGGGTCTAAAGGCCCAAGCCCTCCTCCATAATACCTGCCTAGTCAGGGGCTTCCCATCCAGGGCAAATTTGACTATACTAAATGCTGAGCATTTCCCAGTGAAAACAGATGAGCAATGTGATTTGAACACAGATTTAAACCTCTCCTCTGTTGGCAGCACCTATATATAACGGCGATGCTCTATTGCCCCTCTCAGAAAAATCTAGAACTTTGTCCCTTGTCTCTGTCCTCCCTGCTCTGCGCTCCCTCATTCTCCAACTCAGACAACCCATGAATTCAGCTAACAATGATTGAGCACCACAGTGTAACAGGAAAAAGGCAGGCAGGCACCTCAGTACTTTCCATCTTTCCCTATCTTTATAGATAATCTGATCAATGATTTTGCAGTAAATTGTAAATAACTAATAATGCATAAAACATTGATGCCCTTTAAAGGTAGTTAGCAAAGTAGCGAATCTCTAATTGTAACTTCTCAAGAAACTCTCTGAGAACTATTTGGGAGCTGCCAGCTCTGCCTGCAGGTGAGATCAGCTCTCCCAGACCATCTGCTTGTACCTCAAGCTTTCCCCGATCTGTCCCAGACTCCTTGAGCTTAGAAGCCTGAGCAGGGGACAGAAAGAAGCCAATTTTGCCTCCACTTTGGGACCACAAGCTTCTCTATCTAGGTGACTGTTTATTTATTTATTTATTTATTTATTTATTTATTTATTTATTTATTATTTATTAGCCGAGCCATCCTGCAGCTCAGCAGCAGCTCAGCTTAGGTTGGGAATCGAACCGGCGAGCCTGTTGCTCAGAGCTCGCACTCTTGAGCAAGCTCTAAACCAACTAACTGAGCCACTCGGCCGGCCCCTAGGTGACCATTTTAATAGTCTAACTGCTCCATCAAGGAGATTGCAGACTAAAACAGGCCAACCTCCCTCCTGGGTAAATGTACAGGGTTCCTCGAGACTATAGAACATGCTGGTTAAGAGCTGAATGCCCACCACTCCTTAGCTGTGGGGCTGTAGGCAAGCCACAGTTAATTCATGTGAAAATGGAGATATCAGAGCCCGACCTCAAAGGGTTATAATGAAAATGAAATGAGTGATTCTGCACTTCTGTCTCCCCTCACTCACCAGTACACATAACAGCTGCAAAGACCCAGCACTGTCCGTACTTCACAGGCTGCCCGCCCCTGGCTGACCACTGCCGTAGGATGGCCACGCTGCCGTTCCACTCCAGTGGGCTGACCCCCGTGGAGTAGTCCTCGCTCCAATTCCCCTGCAGCACACCATTGTCATCATTGCTGTTGATCTGCAAAGAACACATGGGTGGGGTTCCACAGTGCCCAGGGGAAGCTCGGGCTGTCCGCAGACAGGGGTGGGGAAGCTCCCGCATCCTTACCATGGCGCTCACCACCCTGCAGACATACACCACGTTGTTCCTCTGGGAGTAGTCTTTGGCCGGGTTCTCTAAGAAGTACAGGCTCCTGTTCAGGATCTCAAAGCAGATATCTATGATGTCCTCTTCAAACTTCCAGGTGAGTGTAAAGGACAAAAAAAGAGAAGCATAAAAGGGTCTAGAATTCTGAAACTTCAAGTCAGTATAGACTTTTAGGGAAGGGTGTATGGGGGTGGGGGTGGAGCTAAATATCAGACAACGGCCTGCCTTCAAAGAGCTTATAAATCAAATTGGGAATGTATTCAATTCAGAATTCTCAAAAACTGACCTGTGTGGCTGACCTGATGGGAAATGCAAACAGAATTCGGAGAGATGAAAGATTTTTGTTGACTGAAGAGATCAGAGAAGGTTATTGGATCTGGTGGGCTTTGAAGGATGAGGTAGACAGGAAGAGAGGAGGGTGGGGGCATTTGCCTGAGGTCTTTGCACATGGTTGGTACCAAGGACAGGGGCTTAGAGATTCTCACTTCTGGAGGACTTGTGGGAAAAGATCAGAGGGATCCGTATAGGGCCAGGCACGTGAGAAGGAGAAGAGAGTGGAGGGCCTTAAATCAAGTAGAGGATTCAGCTGATGCTGTCAGCACAGAAGCCAGTGTAGGTTCATGACATTCATTTACAGCACATATTTGTGACGAGTTGCAACCCTTTTGGCTGCCAAATGCGCTAGTATTTGTCTCAGTTTCAAAAAATTACACAAGTTGTCACAGTTGGAGAACAGGGAAACTGATCTTCCTCAGCAAGGCTCTGTGCTTCCCCCAACTGCTGTTGTGTGTGCGCACAGGGCTGAGAAGGCAACGGGAGGAAGAGAGAAACTACACCAGCCATGGTTGGTGGTTAACAGTGGAAAAGTTGCCCAGAGTCAAAGGTCCACTAGCTCTGTATACTGACTGGACAGTTAATGTTATTAAAGAATTGCTATTCATGTTTTCAGTTGTGATAATGTATTGTGGTGGTTTTTCAGAAAGAGTCATGAACTTTTAGAGCTATATTCTGAAATATGACTGGCTTACATGATATGGCATTTGTAATTTTGCTTAAAAAAAAAAATCCAGTGATGAGGTGGGGTGTGGGGGTGGAGGAGTGTAGACCAGGGATCAGCAAACTTTTTCTGTAAAGGGCCAGATAGTGAATATTTTAGGCTTTGTGGGCCAGAGGGACTCTGTCTCAACTACTCAACTCTGCTGCTGTAGCACAAAAGCAGCCACAGACGACACCTAAACAAATGAGCATGTGCTCCAATAAAATGGTATTAATGGACACTGAAGTTTGAACTTCATATAATTTGCACATCACAAAATATTATTTAAAAAATTTTGTTTTCAACAATTTAAAAAATATGAAAACAATTCTTAGCTCATAGACCATGCATAAATAGGCAGTGGGCTATATTTGGCCCAAGGGCTATAGATGGCAAACCCCTGGTATGGATGAAACAAGATTCAACCTAAATTGATCACTTATTGAGGCTGAGAGACAGGTTCATGGAGGTTCATTATACTAGTCTGCCTACTTGGATTATGTTCTACGTTTTTCATAATAAAATATTAAAAACTAAAAAGGAAAGGCATCTCCCCTCCCTTCCTTGCCTCTTTTACTGGATGGGAAATTGGCCCAGCACTGCGCACCCTGACTTTTGTTAGTGGCCCTTGGTGAGCCCACCTTCCCGTGATAGTGTTACCTGCCCATAGTTCCAGGGCCAGGAGGTGATGAATCTTTCATGACCCTTGTACACAAAGCCATAGTCCATCATGATGTACTCCTGCAGCAGTATTTCACTTGGCAGGTAGACGTCATCCTCTGAGCGGTTAAGAGTAGTGGAGGGGGTAAAACCCCAAACCAAAAAACAGAGGAATAAGATTGAAAAACAGTAATAAAAGTATCTTGCTGGAAAATAGGAGAAGCAGTAGGTTGATGATAATAGAAATCAAGAGTGGACCCCTTAAACATCTACTATGTGCTTAGTTTCTAGAGGCCAGAGAGATCATCTATACTTGAAAAAAAATAATGAATATCTTTTCCTGATAGCAAAAGTGGCAAGCTTGTTGTAGAGATTTGGAAAATACAGATGATGGAAAGAAACCAATGAAAATCACTCATTCCCATTACTCAGAGACACCCACCATTACATGTTGGTGTGTTCTGGCCAGTCTTTCTCTGCACATATATGTGATACAGTTACATATCACACATATATGTAATGCAATTACATATCACATTGTGTTCCATCTCCTAATCTGTTTCAATTAACATCACACTATGAACATTTTCATCATGCTATTAAAAATTCTTTGTAGGGCCGGCC